GTCTATCATAATTCCTTGTAGCTAGAAGATTATTCTGTAAGTCTACGTGTGGTAGCCATGGTGACTGGTTACCACTTCAGTGAGATCCTGAGACAATCACAAGGACACTTTCTGACCCAGAATCCCCCAAATAAGGACAAATAAGGTTCCAGTGTGTAGGAGAAAACAGCTTGGTACTTTACCATTGATCATGTGGACGTTATGACCCTTAACATAAGGGCACTAGTAATGTGAAGTGAGAAGGTCAGACTATTAAAAATTGCATCAGCAATATTGAAGCAATGTGTAAATAATGCCGTCTAGGGCAGGCAGTCAGGCAGGCAAACCAGTGGTTGACAGCATGAGAATCTCCCTGTCAGACATGGCACTCAGGTTACCATAGTAACTCTCTGTCTCTCTCTGTGTGTGTCTCTCTCTCACTCTCTCTCTCTCTGTCTGTCTGTCTGTCTGTCTCTCTCTCATATGTTACTGGTTGATTCATTAACACAGCACTCAGCATTATTCCAGCTATATGATCTCACAATCCAGTGATTGAAATCATGAGCATCAATTTATAAACTTGGACTACGATGATATGCATCAACCAAGTCAGCAAGCGTGACCACCCGATCCCATTAGTCACCTCTTACGATAAGCATAGTTGCCAAGGAAAATGAGTTCGTGAGTTGGTTTTATGCTACTTTTGGCATTATTCCAGCAATATCATGGCAGGAAATCAGAAATCAAACAATACTTATCATGATGTATAATTCTAAGAATACTACCTCTATTACATGACAGCAACAAAGTCCTGTTTTGTGATGTTTTGCCGCCTTGCGCATGCACAGTTACATTAGTGGGGAGGATGGGGTTTGCCTGACAACTATCAGATATGTCAACAGGAGAGGACGTCTGTTGAAAAATCAAAAGATTTCATAGTATGAATACAGTCCAAACAGGAATTGATGGCTATGATGTAACAGAGGTCAGGGATTTAAAGGAATTATGGGCTTCAAACATTGTGGGGATTGCATGACAAGAGAACACTTCAACCACTTTGCCACCCTACCTTACTCTGCCAAAGTTTTTACACTGTTTTAAGCAATATTCCAGCAATATCACAGCGGGGGGACACCAGAAATGGGCTTCACACACTGTACCTATGTCTGGTAAACTGCCAAAGGATCCCAAAAGTGAATACTGTGTGCTTCTCAGAATAAGCCTGGCACAAGAACAAAAGTATTGCGTCTGTTTGTACAAGGTATTTCATAGATAGAAACATCACTGACATCACTGAAACAGGACATTATAGACAGAAAGAGCAAGAGAAAAGAGAAGAGTTAACACAAGAGGACAGACAGACAATACACACATAAATATCAGATGACGTGTCTACGTTTTCAGCAATGTTTCAGCTACTTCTTGACAAGGCTTCTAACACTGTGCCCAGCAAGATACCAGAGTGAGTGAGTTGGGTTTAACGCCGCTTTTCACATTATTCCAGTTATATCACGGCGTGTCAGCTTAATGTGGGAGGAAAGCCCGAAGTGAAGCAGGACGTTTACCACTTCGGTGAAACACACGAGCGCGGATATGGTGCTGACAAACCTAGGAACATAATCGGGGCGAATTGGGATTCGAACCCACAATCAAAGGTTTCTGGCGTGCCCAAGGGACGCAACTCTGCACAGCGAATCGCGGCGCCTTAGACGACTGGGCCACCTGTGCCCCCTGTATCCTAGGGAAGCCTGTAAGGGCCATTTGTTTCATTGTTGGAATTACAAGATACACACTATGTTGAAATGTCAAGATAATGACCTGATATTTTATGATATTAAGGATTTGAAATTATAAGATTATAACTTGAAATTTTAACTCAGTATCTTGAAATTTCAAGATACTAAGTTGAAATTTCAAGATGCTATGTTGAAAATTCAAGGATATATACATGTACAAAGTTGAAAAATCAAGACGATCTTGAAATTTCAGGATATTAAGTTGAAATTTAAAGGTTTTAACTTGCAATTTCATTCATGTATCTTGATAATTCAAAAAATTCCAACTTACTATCTTGAAATTTCAAGAAATAAATTTTTTTTTAAAATGGCCTTAAAAGGCTTCCGTGTATCTGGTCCCAATACATGTAGCTTGAAACCTTAGATCTTTAAAGAATGTGGTCAATGAAAAATACAATACTTAATGTCGCACACCAAATTATGTGTAAGGTATGAGAGGGTCAGAGTGACATAAATACTGTAGATCTGGAAAGGTTTGTGCCATGAAGTAATTGTGAGTGGCAAACGATAGCCTTTCTGTGATTGCGATATCATGTTGACAAGATTACCAGAGACCAAAGCTACCTTTGCACAAGATAGTACTTGTAAGTAGGAAGCAGACTGAGGCAATGGTAACTCTGAGTCAGTCAGTGTATTTTTAACTGTAGATGCATGTGTTGTAGTTGACAAGGAAGGATTTGTTTGTTGTTTAACGCCGCATGCAGCAATATTCCAACTATATGACGGCGGTCTGTACATAATCAAGTCTGGACCAAACAATCCAGTGACTAATGTCTTGAGCATCGATCCACGCAACTGGGATCAATGACATGCATCAACCAAGTCAGCGAGTCTGACCACCCGATCCCATTAATCACCTCTTACGACAAGCATAGTCAGCTTTTACGGCAAGCATGGGTTGCTGAAAACCTATTCTACCCCGGATCTTCACGGGTCGACAAGGAAGGAAGGTTAGTTGGAGTATCCTGGTTATCTACCGGTAGTTTTAAAAAGCTGGTGTATGTCTGAACTACTCAGTGTTGTAGCAACTTGACATTGGCAGGTTAGTGGACTTTCCTGACTAGACTATGGACACTGTGCGACAATGGGTAATCAAGGAACAGGGTGTGAGGGATTACTTATTTAATCATGCACTGACTGGTTGACAATGTGTGCATAATGTCGGAAAGCACACATAAAATCTCCAAATAGTCAGTCGGTTGACAATTTGTGGAAGTGAATTGTTCGTCTGCCAAAATACCTATTATAAAACTATTGCAAGTGACTGTCACTTGCAGGTATTGCAATACTTTCCTGCTCCAACACTTTCCACATTTACAGTATTATAGGTCAGGGTGCTGTTGTACAAAGCAATCTTAGCGCTAAGGTGATCGTAACTCCCATATCTTAACATAGACTTACGACAGTCGTAGCGCTAAGCTTGTTCTGTACAACGGCACCCTGGATCTGAATAGGTAACTCTTACTTTACTGTCCTGGGTGCCGTTGTACAAAGCGATCTTAGCGCTAAGCTGACCATTACTCCCATACCTTAACATAGACTTACGACGGTCGTAGCGCTAAAATTGTTTTGTACAACAGCACCCAGGTTTGTAAGTTATATACATTAATCATAACCATGAACAAAGATGACACGATCGTCCACAAATTGGACAATAAATGTTCCCATAGACTCCATGATCTATACATGATAGAGCACATGTTAAATAATTGAAACACTAACACAGGTCACACATTCAAGACAACAATGACAGTGAAGATGGGCGTATAACAGTGATATCGACCTGCTTAGCAGACATCTGGGTTGACCATACTGAACGCTCAAACTCAAACTATTATTATAAACATTATTCTGATTATGAAATAATAAAAACCACTGTAACCAAACAAATGTTTAGGATTCATCTTTTGGGCAAACTTGAGATATTTCTTGTCGTTTTGATTTGAGAAAATTTGATCCCCTTTTGAAAAGGTACAATGCTCCAAGGTGTGGTGCCTTTTCCAGAGTGAGTGAGTGAGGGAGTGGGTGGGTGAGTGGGTGAGTGAGTGAGTGAGTGAGTGAGTGAGTGAGTGAGTGAGTGAGTGAGTGAGTGAGTGAGTGAGTGAGTGAGTGAGTGAGTGAGTGAGTGAGTGAGTGAGTGAGAGTGAGTGAGTGATCCCACTTGAACAAAACAATCTTAGGGCTACAACTATCTTAAGCCCGTCTTAGAGTATGGGATGCGACCATCGTAGTGCTAAGATGCAAGGGTATCCGGAACATGTTGATGAGAATGGACCTTACCATGTGGCGTTGACAAGTCGGCAGCAATGGCGCGGTGACATTGCAGGAATTCACTGAGTACCGCTGGATGCTGCCACAGATACTCAACAGGGATTTATCAATGTTTCGAAACTTGTCACGCAATTTAGGCAAAAATATAGATGTTATTTTTTTTAAATTTGTCAGTGATATACACGCCTCCACAAAACCGTAACATTAGTTATTACTGTATAACATGAATTGGAAAATTTGTAATTCCAATCTGGGAATTTTTAGTGACATTTGCTGTAGACGTGGGGTGAATATCAGCCTCTGGGCAGGTCTAGACAAAAGCCTGATTTCTTTTAACATGATGGACATTTTTTAAGACAGCTTTTTCTGACCTGAACAGAAATTCTGTAGCACTAAGATTGCTTTGAAAATCCAACAATGCAGAAGAAAATATAATAAATGCCCACTTTGAGAATTTCGGAAATTCTTACAACCAAAGGATTAAAAAATGTAAATACAAAATCTGATAAATCGTCGTCCAATCAGAGTCCACACAACCAGGGAACTGCTCCAGACCGACATGACTAACATGGCAAGATGGCTTGGTCTTGAGTCACACAACCGACAATAAACATAATGTCTGAATTCACAACACAGACACGGAAGAGACTATAACACAATAACACAATAACACATCAAAACACAAACCTCCTACACCTACACCTCAACCTTCATCATCACAAGAAACTAATTCACATATCAATTCAAATTACAGATGTTAATATTACTAACCTTCTATTGGTACTTAAACATAACCAAACTAATCAGGAATATGTCTTCACCTTTGATCACATGGAGAGTGAGTGAGTTGGGTTTAAAGCCGCTTTTAACAGTATTCCAGTTATATCACTGCGTGTCAGCTTAATGTGGGAGAAGAGCCCGAAGTGATGCAGGTCTCAGACGTTTACCACTTCGGTGAAACCCACGAGCACGGGTATGGTGCTGACAAACCTAGAAACATAATCGGGGCGAACCGGGATTCGAACCCACAATCATAGGTTTCTGGCGTGCCTAAGGGACGCAACTCTGAACAGCGAATCGCATGGTGAATACATCCCCTAGTTTATTCGTCTCGGAAACAATTAGAGTTCTCACTATTGTTGAAGTCTGATAATTATTTCAAACAAACAATTCTTCACAACAAATCACTCACATAAATCAGAAAAAACTAAGGTCACTCTTCCTAATTTAGAGTTAACAATGTCTGAATTGGCTGAAAACTCCATTGGTTTTGATTGGGTGGTGACAGTTCACTCTGTGTTCACATGACGTCGTGAGTGTTCTGTGGAGTGTCTCCATACTAACATACAGAGTTGTGCCATATGTGGGAAAAGAAGGGATGTTATTGAAATGGCCTGAAACACAGTACATGTGTACTTGTTTTTTGGCCTATATACAAATGTCAACAACCAGTGTTTGACAAGAGAGCCATTTGTCCCCGACTCACGATAACCAAGCAGGCCTGTATATAAATGCCCACATAACGTCCAACAGAATACCTCATCAAGATATCCACGGGTCATCAACAAGCTATTGAGTTTGTAAAGGTGCGATAACATGAACCTTAAAATAGCCATGTTAAATATCTATGCCACATTTATCATTAATCTCAGCAATATCACAGATGGGACACTAACAGTCGACTTAGTGTATCCCGGTCAAGAATTGAACCCAAACGTGACATACCACCTCTGGCCTACTAAAATTGACAAATGCTGAAGTTTGTGAGACTTTCAATAAATAGTTGCGACATGCATCTGGAGTGTCTAAATGACCACCAATTAGCTTTGTTCTTTTACCAACATGAAGCTATTTGATTTTTCACAACATTTGACTATTCAAAGCTAACGCTGGACAATGAGAAAATATGATGTTTGTGTCATCAGTGGACGGGACGTTTCCAAAGTTCAAAGTGTCAGAGAGAAAACGTTTACTGTCAGGTAAACATGGTAAACGAGCTCATTCAATGATTTTCAAAACCATTTAAAAAGTTTTCTCCAAATTACAAATTTGGCAGTTTAAGTGGGCCAGATAGGGACCTTGTTAGACATTGTATTTAGAACAAAGTATTTACAAGCTTAAACAACAAGAGTTTGTGGCCTTGAAGACATCGTCATCAAGTGATAAAAAGTGCTCATCCTTACATTCACAACACATGATGTATTAATCAGTGGGGATGTAATAGTGCCGTGATGACCCAATTCCTCCTGACGATAATTACAAGTGTCAACAACCAGTGTTAGGCCATTAAAGATGAAGATGTTCACATAGCTCTTCAGACATTGCTTCTATTTATCCTCCAAAACTGGCTTCTGCCGGAGATATCATTTGGGTGAGGTCAATGTTATGTCCTAGGAGATACTGTCAATATGACTTGCATCACAATGCTTTGCAGACCAGTGTGATGTCATCGGTTACCATGACGTCACAATCAAATGACATCACTAATCTGCCACTGAATCTGGTTAGTTGTACTGTTTACACACAAGACATTGGATATTACTATTTACAAACAGAAAAAGTTGGAAGATAGATTTTGGACGATAAATAGAAGCTCACCCTCATGTGTTCTAATATCAAATATATCAACACTCGTTGATAAAAGTTTAAAACTCCGAGGCAAACCACGGGACTGACAAGGTGATATTCAAGAGAAGGGAGTGAATCGCCTCGGACTTTGTTTACTCATGTTTTGGCCCCCAAAATAATAAATCCATGTCTGAAAGAACACAGTTGGTGTCTGTCCAATAAATAAAGCCTCACACACAGTTTGTCAATGTCTCCCTTATACTAAGATAATGACAGAAGGGTGGACTGATCAGATCCAGTTACTAAAGCCAGTGGCCGACCTTTCATTGAATACATCAGCAACACTAGACGTCTGCAGTGTTCACCTGCAAACAAAGGTATGTACAAGGGTAATACTCACAATATCATCCCCAAACTGATCTTAGCGCTAAGATGATCGTAACTCTCCTACCTTAACACTGACTTACGAATTTGTAGCGCTAAGATGATCGTAACTCGCCTACATTAACACTGACTTACGAATTTGTAGCGCTAAGATTGCGTTAACGAACAGGGTGTAGCACTAAGATCCCCAAAGCTAAGATGATTTTAAGTCACCTTCATTAACACTGACTTACGAATTCGTAGCGCTAAGATCACACTGTGGAGCAGCCGATAACGATGTTCCACAGGGTTACAGCCATTGTTTGATATTGTGGAAAAACCAGTCAAACTTTGTGGTCCATGAATCTCCATATGCATTCCCGAATTGTTCCATGAAGTATTTCACAGCTTCTTTCTCCGTCTTCTCCACTGCCAGTGTCTTTCGGATGTAGCCAATGTCGTCAAGAGACTGAAGCTCGGGGATTCCGCACGACAACATCAGCGTGAACAGTGTGATGAACAGGTGGGCGTGTTTCCGCAGGAACACGTAGGCAGATATACACAGCTTCTGGAACCTGCAGTCAGAAGAATCAACAGCGAATCAGGGGACAGGGATCTTCAAGATCGCATAAGAAAACGTAAACTTTACCTGTAACTACGAATTTATTGCGTATGTGCGATGGATGGATGGATGGATGGATGGATGGATGGATGGATGGATGGATGGATGGATGGATAGATAGATAGATAGATAGATAGATAGATAGATAGATAGATAGATAGATAGATAGATAGATAGATAGATAGATAGATTTTGACACAACCAGACGAGTCACAGATCCTGACCACCAAAAATCAGTAGTCGGTCCTCACATGAAACAATGGAAGGGACCCCTGATGGTCTGACTCTATTCAGATTAAGCTCCACAATCTACTCCACCAGGGGCACATGTAGAACACGACCTGTTGTGAATAACGCCAGGGGTAATGCTATTTACAAAAGCTGATTGAAATGAAGAGTTGATGGTCACAATGTTAACCTGGAACTTTCAACCACTAATCGGCAGCAGAATTACCGCTGGTCGTTATACATACAAGAACAAGATCCATTGAATATTGCCAGAAATCTACAATGTATTCCAGCTGTATGACAGCAGTCTGTAAATAAGATAGTCTTGACCAGACTATCCAGTGATATTACGAAGGGAAAGGTTCGCATCATGCTATCACAATATCTACTGTTGAAGTAGCTAAAATGCCCAAGTGGGAAACACTACTTGGCAACACTTAGAATATAGGCCTGAGACACTGGCATTGTTCTATCAACACACTGTTTACAGACTATCATAAACCTACCAAGGAAAAATCATTACAATTAGAACAATGGCTGCCGTGGCAGCCATATTGCAGGGATGGCAACAGAGGAAAAAGAGGAAAAGTCGGGGGGGGGTCTGGACATTTTTTTAAACATTTGATTGATTGCATTTTTAGCAATTTCATGCAGTTTGGACAACATTCACACCAAGAAATGTAATAAGTCAATTACAAAAGTCTACAAGTCAAATAAACAAAGATGGCGGATGCAGTAAAAGTTCGAAGTTAAATCAGTACTTTTAAAAAATCGGGCATAGCTTCCGCATACCTGGCTACCCGCCAGGTATGGGAGCAATACTGCCATAAACTTCAACCCCCATACCCCAGACACAAGGACAACTGTCACAAGTGTGCAATGTCTGACCCTTTCCCCATGTTGAAGCATACTGGTAAAAACTAACTTACCTTTTGTTGAAAAAACAAAACTCCATTGCAAACATAAGACATTATTACAACATATATCCTCATGTTATGGGTTTTCGGACGTTGAAGAAACATTCATAGTTTTCACGCTAATCACATGAACAACTGTGAAACATCTCATTTACTTACAGGCTAAAAGACAACTTTATCTTAAAAACAAGCCATCATCTGACCATGCTGACTCTGGGTATTTACAATTTCTGTGTGACGCCACCCCCCACATTACAGTGCAAGTATTCGTGGTAGAAACGTATGATGTCCGAAAACCTATGCTGCTGAAAGCTCTGAACGAAAACAAAGCAATCTGCGACGATTGTTCGGTTTTCGATCATATTTTTCAGAGTGATTTTTAAAAAATCTTTGATTATATTTTTACGCGGAAGATGATTTTTTCCAAGGACTAGTGCTATAAAAAACGCGATGTTCCACGTTTCTGCAGAGATTTCACATCTCTGATATTGAAAATCGGATTTAAACTTTTTGGAGAAAGTGAGGTGTCATCATTGGTCCTTCTTACCGCTCATATTCGTCCTGTTTGGAAGGCTGATCCGCACCTTTGGCTATCACACGGATGAAATCCTCAGTCAGGACAAACGGAACACGCTCTCTGTTGATCCCAAACTTTTTCTTTTTGTGATCCAAGAAATGACCAAAGTCAATATGGAATACCTGAAAAGTAAAAGAAACATCCACTCTATAGCACCAGCTTTCAATGGTATGGTGAGGTGAGGTGAAATTGGGTTTAACGTCGCGTCCAAGATTATTGCACTTATATAGCGACGTGCATGCACGTGTGTGTGTGTGGCTGCTTGTACTAGTCCGGACTAATGCCGATTTATAGTGCTAGCTCACTGAGATACCATGCCGCAGTTCAACATGAATACCCCACTCAGACACAGTATACTGACTCCGAGCCGACCAGTCCTTGTTTTAGCCCCTTAATGCCGAGCGCCAGACAGGGTAACAACAAGTACCATCTTTAAACATCTTTTGGTATGACGCGGTCGGGGATCGAACCCCGGACCTTCCGCTCTCCGGGCGAACGCTCTTCCACTAGACCACGGAGGCGGTCTTCAATGGTATGGCACAGCTAGGATCGAACCGTCGACCTGCTCTCCAGGACAACGCTCTATCCTCAAGGCCAATGGGGAGGTCAGTTGGCAAACATTGTTTATTGTTTATCCCAACACAATATTCAAGCTGTATGATTGGTTGGTTTGTTGTTTAACGCCGCACTCAGCAATATTCCATCTATATGACTGCGGTCTGTAAATAATCGAGTCTGGCCCCGACAATCCAGTGACTGATATCAAGAGCATCGATCATGATACAATGACATACATCAACCAAGTCAGCGAGCCTGACCATCCGATCGCGTCAGTCGCTTCTTACGACATGCAAAGTCATTTTTACGGCAAGCATGGGTTGCTGAAGACCTATGCAACCCTGGATGCTGAAGACCTATGCAACCCTGGATGCCGAAGACCTATGCAACCCTGGATGCCGAACACCTATGCAACCCTGGATGCCGAAGACCTATGCAACCCTGGATGCCGAAGACCTATGCAACCCTGGATGCCGAAGACCTATGCAACCCTGGATGCCGAAGACCTATGCAACCCTGGATGCCGAAGACCTATGCAACCCTGGATGCCAAAGACCTATGCAACCCTGGATGCCGAAGACCTATGCAACCCTGGATGCCGAAGACCTATGCAACCCTGGATGCCGAAGACCTATGCAACCCTGGATGCCAGCTTGATTTGGGAGGACAAAGACAACATCAACACAAAGCAGATATCAGGTCTTTAAAAGGCACTTAGAAGTGATACACATAAGGAAGAGAATATATGGATGTCAACTTCTTTATTATGATGAACACAACATTTCGGAGTATATACTTACTCCTTAATCAGGTGATTTCACATCCAATTCTCTTCCTAAAAGAAGATATCATTAAAGAGTCTCTCACAACACTGTCATGCCCACCTGTCCTTCTTCCGTCACCATGATGTTTTCGGGGTGCCTGTCGCCAATGCCGAGCACGAACGTGGCGACACAGTAGCCTGCACACGACCTGGTGAAGGCGTCGATTGCTTGATCATACCTGTAAGAGACATTAACAATGTCAGACTGCCTCCACTGACCCATGTCCCCATGGACTGCCTCCTCTGACCCGTGTCCCCATGGATTGCCTCCACTGACCCATGTCCCCATGGATTGCCTCCTCTGACCCCTTGTCCCTATGGACTGCCTCCTCTGACCTGTGTCCCCATGGATTGCCTCCACTGACCCGTGTCCCCATGGATTGCCTCCTCTGACCCCTTGTCCCTATGGACTGCCTATTCTGACCTGTGTCCCCATGGACTGCCTCCTCTGACCCGTGTCCCCATGGATTGCCTCCTCTGACCCCTTGTCCCTATGGACTGCCTATTCTGACCTGTGTCCCCATGGACTGCCTCCTCTGACCCGTGTCCCCATGGATTGCCTCCTCTGACCCGTGTCCCCATGGATTGCCTCTACTGACCCGTGTCCCTATGGATTGCCTCCTCTGACCCGTGTCCCCATGGACTGCCTCCACTGACACGTGTCCCCATGGACTGCCTCTACTGACCCGTGTCCCCATGGACTGCCTCCACTGACCCCTTGTCCCTATGGACTGCCTCCTCTGACCTGTGTCCCCATGGATTGCCTCCACTGACCCGTGTCCCCATGGATTGCCTCCTCTGACCCCTTGTCCCTATGGACTGCCTATTCTGACCTGTGTCCCCATGGACTGCCTCCTCTGACCCGTGTCCCCATGGATTGCCTCCTCTGACCCCTTGTCCCTATGGACTGCCTATTCTGACCTGTGTCCCCATGGACTGCCTCCTCTGACCCGTGTCCCCATGGATTGCCTCCTCTGACCCGTGTCCCCATGGATTGCCTCCTCTGACCCCTTGTCCCTATGGACGGCCTATTCTGACCTGTGTCCCCATGGACTGCCTCCTCTGACACGTGTCCCCATGGACTGCCTCCTCTGACCCCTGTCCTCATGGATTGCCTCCTCTGACCCATGTCCCCATGGACTGCCTCCTCGACCCGTGTCCCCATGGATTGCCTCCTCCGACCTGTGTCCCCATGGACTGCCTCCTCTGACCTATGTCCCCATGGACTGCCTCCTCTGACCTGTGTCCCCATGGACTGCCTCCACTGACCTGTGTCCCCATGGATTGCCTCCTCTGACCCGTGTCCCCATGGACTGCCTCCACTGACCTGTGTCCCTATGGATTGCCTCCTCCGACCTGTGTCCCCATGGACTGCCTCCTCTGACCTGTGTCCCCATGGACTGCCTCTACTGACCCGTGTCCCTATGGATTGCCTCCTCTGACCCGTGTCCCCATGGACTGCCTCCACTGACACGTGTCCCCATGGACTGCCTCTACTGACCCGTGTCCCCATGGACTGCCTCCACTGACCCGTGTCCCCATGGACTGCCTCCACTGACCCGTGTCCCCACGGACTGCCTCCTCTGACCCGTGTCCCCATGGATTGCCTCCTCTGGCCCCTGGCCCCATGGATTGCCTCCTCTGACCCGTGTCCCCATGGACTGCCTCCTCTGACCCGTGTCCCCATGGACTGCCTCTACTGACCCGTGTCCCCATGGACTGCCTCTACTGACCCGTGTCCCCATGGACTGCCTCTACTGACCCGTGTCCCCATGGATTGAAACAAAGTAGTACCTGTCTGCATTCTTCTCCTTGATCCACCGATGAAGCTGGGAGGAGTCCATCTGTATGGCGGCCCGAGTACCCCCCCGGGACTGTATCGACGTGATCGTCTTGGCGTTCCGAACTACCTGAATGAGACCCACATCCTTCCCTGTCGCCAAACACCCGTACGGAATCATCCTGAAATCATGATTATTTGTGATAAAAATAGGCACATATTCAAGTCTGGGTCAATGAAACCAGTTGCTCACAGCACAAGCCAGGGCAGTTTTCTAAAAGTGCAGCTGTTCAATTTGCAGAGTTGCGTCTCTTAGTCGTAACAGAATCCTATGATAACGGGATCCCAGATTAGCCTTGATCAGTATTCAAGTTATATCCCGGCATGTCAGCTTGATGTCGGAGGAAAGCCTAAGTGATGCAGGTGAAACCCACAAGTGCTGGCAAACCAAAAAACCATAATCGGAGTGTACCAGGATTCAAAGAACACAACTTTGCACAGCAACTTCGTCACCACAGGCGACTGGGCCACCCATGCCCCCTTGACCAGATAGGAACTGGCATTAAATACATATCACGTATCTGCTACTTACAACCGACCAGGCCACCCATGCCCCCTTGACCAGATAGGAACCGGCATTAAATACATATCACGTATCTGCTACTTACAACCGATTATCGGATTATTGATACAATAAATACAGATATGACATTAATATCTTTGACATCAGACCATGACCCATGAGTATGACATTAGGACATCATTTTGCGCAATTCTTACAATCAGCACAAAACAAATGCTATTCTGAAAGATTAGGTGGTCATATGCAGATGACCTGTGAAGATCCAGGGTAGAATAGGTCTTCAGCAACCCATGCTTGCTGCAAAAGACGACTATACTTATCGTAAAAGGCGACTAACAGGATCAGGTGGTCAGGCTCGCTGACTGGGTTGATGCATGTCATCGATCCAAATTGCATGGATCAATGCTCATGATATCAATCACTGGATTGTCTGGTCCAGACTCGATTATTTACAGACCGCCGTCATGTAGCTGGAATATTGCTGAGTGCGGCGTTAAACAACAAACAATCAAAATCATATGCAGATATTTGTTGCCCCACCTGAGGTCGAGGCCTTCAGCCTTCCAGATGGTGTCCATCAGCCGGATGACCTGGAGAGTCAGCATGTCCTGTCTCAGATCTGGAACAACAATCACGATTCAAGTAGAACCTGTGTCTTCCTGGGCTGGTTACAAAGACCACCAGGCACTGTAGCTCACCGGATAGTTTCTTGAATGATGGCAACATTATTTCACAAGGGTCATAATACAAAGACCACCAGGCACTGCAGCTCACCGGATAGTTTCTTGAATGATGGCAACATTATTTCACAAGGGTCATAATACAAAGACCACCAGGCACTGCAGCTCACCGGAATGTTTCTTGAACATTGGCAACATTATTTCACAAAGGTTGTAATACAAAGGTCAACATGCAAAAAAGTAGAAAATGTTTGAAAAACAACAAACGAACATTACTTATTGGCTGAGAAGAGGGTCAAATGTAAAGCCACAAGATCATTGCCATGGCAACCACAGATGTATATGAAAGTCAAAGGTTGAAGTAAGTACAAATATCCAACAAACATTTGTACATGGCATACAACACATTTGCTTCATATTAAATTTCACAACATAAGATGCATAAACCATTACATAAAGAGCCAAAGATATTCAAAATATGCCTGTAGTGCCAGCCATGTCAAAATAAAAGGTTTAAATTTGGGTGCATATTTTAGAGGTACATATGCTAAGGCATAGATCTTTTAAAGATCTCCTTTTTTTAAAAATGGCTGCTATCTGCTTATCTGTTGTAGAAAAAACGATACGATACGTATCACGATACAGTGTTTACTGGTACAAGCTAAGCCAAGTTGATGCCTTTCTGCTATCTAAAAGATGTGACAAGTACAGTTGAAGAAGATATAAGGTGTTTATTTACTGTTATAGCAAATTGTCAGCAATACAGAATGTTTTACTGAAACAACAAACTGGCTTTGAAACTGTTAAACGTAATTCATGGGCGCGACCACCCCCATCCCCTTTTTTTATTTCGAAAAAAAATCTTTATTTCTGTATAAATTACCACCAAATACAATAAATAGATCTTAATTGTGCACACACACCCCACCCCCCCCCCACCCCCCCCCCCCCCCCCTCTTTTCAAAAAAGCTGTATTCGCCCATGTATTTCATGTATCTTCTTTAGTATAGTGCGCACCAATGTATAATGCGCATGCCCCTCTAGCGGGTTCAATATTTTGAAAAAAAATAATTGAATATTATGCGCAGAAACATTTTACACCGTACCCCTACAGCGAAGTCCGGCAAACGAACGAGTGATGAGAAACTTCGTCAGTACAAATTCGAAATTTGAGATAAAAAATCACCAGACATGTTGATTTACCGTTTAAATTGTATTTTTTGTTCAGCTAGGCATCGTTTTATATCCAGGGATTAAGATTACCTTGTGTATTTTCTCGTAAACTAAGCCGGACACAGCAATCAGCTGTACATGTACACACGTTTTCTTGGAATCTACCGGTGATTCGGTCAAGACACACCCAATGATATAACTTCACAGTATTTTAATGCAAGGATCGGCAAAAGTTGTATCTGAAACTATTTGTTAATCAGGAATAATATATTCCAATATATTGTTAATTTAGATGCAGCTTTTACTAAACATATTTAAAATAATAATAACCCTAAGCGAAGCAGCTGATCGCTATTGCCGGGTATTATTTTTTACATGGAACCAGTCTGACCAGTCACCGTCAAGGCTCCCGTGCACGTGATCGCGAGAATTACGTGTTGACATAGAATCGTCCAACAAAAACAAATCTGATTTTGAACGAATCAACGTATGGCATTTATGATATATGTATCCATTCTCTGTCAACTTAAATTCCTTTCAAGGCGTCAATAGCGGTAATCTGACCGTGGTTTCTGTTAATAACGGTGAGTTGTGCGATCTTCCGATCGCTTCACACACGATTTCGCCGAAATTAATTAAAACAATATTAAAAGGAATTTTGAATAAAATTAATGAAATAAGTTACAAACGTGAGTCCAGATATACAAAGAACACTTTTTTTATAGCCAGTGTAAGTACATGAATAATTTGCGAACTTCAGTATGGATTTGTTGACATGGTATTTCCGGTGTTACTTGCTCACGGTAATGTCTTTCCATGGGGGAAAAACATCAAAACTCATTAATTTGTGTATAATGCGCAACCCCTTCTACACAGCTGTGTTTTTTTGAATAAAAAAGTGCGCACTATACTCAAGAAAATACGGTAGGTAAAACTGTGTTATGAAAATATCGTATGTATCGCGATACATGCTTTCCAAATCGATGCATCGTATCGTGGGCTGTGCAACGGGATACAATACTGTATCGCCGTATCGTTACACCACTAATATAATGAGCAACAGTTTAATGACACTGTATCAACTGAGCCACAAAGACTGACCACCCCATCCATTTCATAGGTTCATGCTACAAGCAGAGTGTTCTGGGGACCTATGTCCAGTGTTCTGGGGACCTATGCACAGTGTTCTGGGGACCTATGCACAGTGTTCTGCGGACCTATGCACAGTGTTCTGGGGACCTATGCACAGTGTTCTGGGGACCTATGCACAGTGTTCTGGGGACCAATGCAGTGTTCTGGGGACCTATGCACAGTGTTCTGGGGACCTATGCACAGTGTCTGGGGACCTATGCAGAGTGTTCTGGGGACCTATGCACAGTGTTCTGGGGACCTATGCACAGTGTTCTGGGGACCTATGCACAGTGTTCTGGGGACCTATGCACAGTGTTCTGGGGACCTATACACAGTGTTCTGCGGACCTATGCACAGTGTTCTGCGGACCTATGCACAGTGTTCTGGGGATCTATGGACAGTGTTCTGGGGACCTATGCACAGTGTTCTGGGGACCTATGCACAGTGTTCTGGGGACCTATGCACAGTGTTCTGGGGACCTATGCACAGTGTCTGGGGACCTATGCAGAGTGTTCTGGGGACCTATGCAGAGTGTTCTGCGGACCTATGCACAGTGTTCTGCGGACCTATGCACAGTGTTCTGGGGACCTATGGACAGTGTTCTGGGGACCTATGCACAGTGTTCTGGGGACCTATGCACAGTGTTCTGCGGACCTATGCACAGTGTTCTGGGGACCTATGCACAGTGTTCTGGGGACCTATGCACAGTGTTCTGGGGACCTATGCACAGTGTTCTGGGGACCTATGCACAGTGTTCTGCGGACCTATGCACAGTGTTCTGGGGACCTATGCACAGTGTTCTGGGGACCTATGGACAGTGTTCTGGGGACCTATGCACATTGTTCTGGGGACCTATACACAGCGTTCTGGGGACCTATGCAAAGTGTTCTGGGGACCTATGCACAGTGTTCTGGGGACCTATGCACAGCGTTCTGGGGACCTATGCACAGTGTTCTGCGGACCTATGCACAGTGTTCTGGGGACCTATGCTAATACCACTTGTATGGCCTAAACCCAGAGCTACTGCACATATTCTGTCACATCTGCCCTAAGAAAGAAAGGCTCACCATCACCGTTCTTGAACATGATTCTGTAGTCGGATTCATGCACGTCTCTCATGGGGTCTGGGTTACTCCACACCAGCCACAGGGGGCGCTTCTTGGAGGTCATGACCCGACAGTCAGCTTGTCTGGAAACAGGACATACAGGTCACCATCCACAAGTACTGCAGTCATGAAGCTGACGCTATTATGAGTGTGTGTGTATGTGTGAATGTGAGGTGTGTGTGTGAGGTGTGAGTGTGTTTGTGAATGTGAGAGGTGTGTTTGTGTGAGGTGGAGTGTGTGTATGTGTGAATGTGAGGTGTGTGTGTGGTTTGTGTGAGTGAGGTGTAAGTGTGTTTGTGAATGTGAGAGGTGTGTTTGTGTGAGGTGGAGTGTGTGTATGTGTGAATGTGAGGGGTGTGTGAGGTGTGAGTGTGTTTGTGAATGTGAGAGGTGTGTTTGTGAGGTGTGAGTGTGTGTTTGAGTGTGTGTGTGTGATTGTGAGAGGTGTGTTTGTGTGTGTGAATGTGAGGTGTGTGTGTGTGTGTGTGTGTGTGTGTGTGTGTGTGTGTGTGTGTGTGTGTGTGTGTGTGTGTGTGTGTGTGTGTGTGAGAATGTGAGAGGTGTGTTTGTGTGTGTGTGAATGTGAGTGTGTGTGTTTGTGTGTGGTGTGTGTGTGAATGTGAGAGGTGTGTTTGTGTGAGGTGTGAGTGTGTTTGTGAAAGTGAGAGGTGTGTTTCTGTGAGTTGTGAGTGTGTTTGTGAATGTGAGAGGTGTGTTTGTGTGAGGTGTGTGTGTGTTAGGTATGTGTCAGTGTGAATGTGAGAGGTGTGTGTGTGAGTGAGGTGTGTGTGTCAGTGTGAATGTGAGATGTGTGTGTGTGTGTGTGTGCAGACATCATCTGCAGGAGGTGATGGATGTGTTTGGAGGTGGGGGATGGGGGGACTTACATGATCTCCCCCAGGATGTGGGCCGTGTTGAGGGGGGAGATGATGGATGGGGTGGGGGATGGGGGGACTTACATGATCTCCCCCAGGATGTGGGCCGTGTTGAGGGGGGAGATGATGGATGAGGTGGGGGATGGGGGGACTTACATGATCTCCCCCAGGATGTGGGCCGTGTTGAGGGGGGAGATGATGGATGGGGTGGGGGATGGGGGGACTTACATGATCTCCCCCAGGATGTGGGCCGTGTTGAGGGGGGAGATGATGGATGGGGTGGGGGATGGGGGGACTTACATGATCTCCCCCAAGACGTGGGCCGTGTTGAGGGGGGAGATGATGAATGTAGTGACGGGTGGGGGGTGGGGGGGTGGGGGACTTACATGATCTCCCCCAGGACGTGGGCCGTGTTGAGGGGGGAGATGTTGGATGTGGTGACGGGTGGGGGGTGGGGGGGACTTACATGATCTCCCCCAGGACGTGGGCCGTGTTGAGGGGGGAGATGTTGGATGTGGTGACGGGTGGGGGGTGGGGGGGACTTACATGATCTCCCCCAGGACGTGGGCCGTGTTGAGGGGGGAGATGATGGATGTGGTGACAGGTGGGGGGTGGGGGGGTGGGGGACTTACATGATCTCCCCCAGGACGTGGGCCGTGTTGAGGGGGGAGATGTTGGATGTGGTGACGGGTGGGGGGTGGGGGGGACTTACATGATCTCCCCCAGGACGTGGGCCGTGTTGAGGGGGGAGATGATGGATGTGGTGACAGGTGGGGGTGGTGGGACTTACATGATCTCCCCCAGGACGTGGGCCGTGTTGAGGGGGGAGATGTTGGATGTGGTGACGGGTGGGGGGTGGGGGGGACTTACATGATCTCCCCCAGGACGTGGGCCGTGTTGAGGGGGGAGATGATGGATGGGGTGGGGGGTGGGGGGACTTACATGATCTCCCCCAGGACGTGGGCCGTGTTGAGGGGGGAGATGTTGGATGTGGTGACGGGTGGGGGGTGGGGGGGACTTACATGATCTCCCCCAGGACGTGGGCCGTGTTGAGGGGGGAGATGATGGATGTGGTGACAGGTGGGGGGTGGGGGGGTGGGGGACTTACATGATCTCCCCCAGGACGTGGGCCGTGTTGAGGGGGGAGATGTTGGATGTGGTGACGGGTGGGGGATGGGGGGGACTTACATGATCTCCCCCAGGACGTGGGCCGTGTTGAGGGGGGAGATGATGGATGTGGTGACAGGTGGGGGTGGTGGGACTTACATGATCTCCCCCAGGACGTGGGCCGTGTTGAGGGGGGAGATGATGCTCTGGAGCGCCTCCTGGTAGTCAGGCTGCTGCAGCTGCTCCTGCAGGAACTTCATCTGCTCATCCTGAAACATCCAGACTAAGTGCTAGAGACAAACAGGTGCTTCTAAACCAAGTCAGAGCTGACCTGGAGGGTTTGGACTCCTCAAGTGATCAATCAACTTCTACCTGACTTGCCACTACAGAGGAGCTGTAGTCAACATGCTGTATACATCGTTAGTTGTTTGTTGTCACAGTCAGCAGTGTGTGGCAGCAGCCTGAAAGATTCATGCCAGTCCACAAGCCCATAACTACTAAATTGTACTGGACCAATGATGGTACTCCTCATAGACTCGAAGAATTTGAGGGTAATAATTCTGAACCACTTCTCAATGCTTCAAGTTTGCTACAAATTCGAACGGAATAAAACTGACAGAAATCGTAAACACACTGAACATTTCTTCCTAGTTTAAAGACATGTGAAATGAAGTTTCCAATATCTAGTCTAAAAACAACACATATCTGAGACTGTGAAAGCCTGTAACTAACCGAGTCTGGACCAGTCAAACCAGTGATTGATATAAATAGCTGACGAACAAGAAGGTCTTAAATCAATGACCAACAACATGCAGAAGACGGTATGTTCAAAGTCTTCAACCATTTTAATCTATCTGAACACCTTTCACCTTCAGGAGCATAGACTGAAGACGTGCTTACATCTTTGACCTCTGACTTGAGCATGTCGGTCAGTTTGGTGAGTTTCTCCAATGCCTCCACTTGTCGAGTCAGGGTCTTCAGGAACGACCCACATCCTCGACAGTAAGCCTCCAGCATCAGCCCAAACCTCAACCGCGACGAAGTCTGATGCATCTCGGATCTGAAGTGAAAAGTCTTTCTGTGTATTGCCTCCTTTCAACTTAACAATGCAGGATTTGTTTGTTTGTTTGTTTGTTGTTTTACGCCGCACTCAGCAATATTCCAGCTATATGACGGCAGTCTGTAAATAATCGAGTCTGGACCAGACAATCCAGTGATTGACATCATGTGCATCGATCCACACAATTGGGACCAATGACATGCATCAACCAAGTCAGTGAGCCTGACCACCCAATCCCGTGAGTCGCCTTTTACGACAACATAGTCGCCTTTTACGGCAAGCATGGGTTGCTGAAGACCTATTCTACCCCGGAATCTTCACGGCTTTTGCAGGAAGCTCAGAGACTAGTGTATGCCATTTAGGAAAGGGGGTGGTGGGGTAGCCTTGTGGTTAAAGTCTTCGCCCCATTACACCGAAGGTCTGGGTTCGATTCCCGACATGGGTACGTTGTGTGAAGCCCATTTCTGGTGTCCCCTGCCGTGATATTGCTGAAATATTGCTAAAAGTGGCGTAAAACCATACTCACTCACTCTTGCAAACACAATAAAACCAAGGACTAAACAAATGCTTTGCGTTAGCAGCCATTGCGTAATTGAACTCTTCCCATTGTCAGGGCAACAACAGCATGGAGGACGTACTTGAGATGCCAGAAGAAGAAGTTTCCTATCCTCTGGGACAGAAGAGCTCTCTTCAGCAGGAACTTTGTCATTGGATTGTCCATATAGGGTTCATACTTCATAGCCTGGAAACATAACAAAGTGCCAATGGGAAACAGCAACATCACAAAAAACTCAATACATGACACTTTTTATGGATAGCAACTTATTTTATTAATTGTAACAACATTTCAGAGATACTTCTAGCTCCTTCCTCAGGGGAATGATGAAGACATAGTTCTGAAACATCGCGACAAATAATCAAAGAAGCTGCTATCCATAGAAAGTGTCATGTATTCATGTTTTTCCAACTTTTTAATGTCTGTTAAAGACTTCATAAATTACCTGTCAAGATTCATTGACTGTTTGTGTGGTCAGGATATTTGTTTGTTGTTGACCGTGATGATGTGAAAAATCTAGAGAGACCAGTATTTTCTTCTACACTCTGGTTATATAACCAACCAGTCCAACATGAGCTGTGGATATAGCCACTAGTGTCTTCCCTTGCTAGAGGCAACTCTGCACCATAATTTACAATGCCTTAGACCAGGCTTTTTTTATTTTTAGGATTACGGATTTTTCAGCCCAAAGTCCAGGTTTGGAGGAGGGAAAAAAAGAAAAGAAAGCCAGGTGCATTTTTTTTAATGCAGAATGCCTCTGGCATACTTTATGAATATATTCTGTGCTCAAAAGACCACCATTTGTAACGATAAAGCCCCTTGTAACAATAAAAATTCTACCACTTACAACACAGACAATTGTCAAGGGAGGCTATTCATGTTCGGCTTCGAGATCAACAAAGATTGATTATGTATCTCTTTACTAGTTAACATCGGTAAATTCATGTGTTTTTTATTAAAAAGGTGATGATAACAAATAAAACAAGTATTTGTCACAGAGTGACGAAATATCCCCCGCCATATACACCATAGTACCAAATATGAAGACAATCCAGCGATTAGTTCTTGAGATATTGTGGCAACACCGTTTTCCAACTCCAAAAACAGATTTGCCTGCTGTGACCTTGAAAATGGGGTCAAGGTCACCAAATCTGACAGGTGTATGCGGTGTCTGTATATACACTATAGTTCCAAATATGAAGACAATCCAGCGATTAGTTCTTGAGATATCGCGGCAACACCGTTTTCTAACTCCAAAAGCAGATTTGCCTGCTGTGACCTTGAAAATGGGGTCAAGGTCACCAAAACCGACTGGTGTCTGCGGTGTCTGTATATACACCATAGTTCCAAATATGAAGACAATCGAGAGGTTAGTTCTTGAGATATCGCGGCAACACCGTTTTCCAACTCTAAAAGCAGATTTGCCTGCTGTGACCTTGAAAATGGGATCAAGGTCACCAAAACCGACTGGTGTCTGCGGAGTCTGTATATACACTATAGTTCCAAATATGAAGACAATCCAGTGTTTAGTTCTTGAGATATCGCGGCAACACCGTTTTCCAACTCCAAAAGCAGATTTGCCTGCTGTGACCTTGAAAATGGGGTCAAGGTCACCAAAACCGACTGGTGTCTGCGGTGTCTGTATATACACCATAGTTCCAAATATGAAGACAATCCAGTGTTTCGTTCTTGAGATATCGCGGCAACACCGTTTTCCAACTCTAAAAGCAGATTTGTCTGCTGTGACCTTGAAAATGGGATCAAGGTCACCAAAACCGACTGGTGTCTGCGGAGTCTGTATATACACCATAGTTCCAAATATGAAGACAATCCAGTGTTTAGTTCTTGAGATATCGCGGCAACAAACAGGTGGGACGTACGGACGGACGGACGTACGGACGGACGGACGGACGGTCGTGAATACTATATCCCCCGCTTCGCGCTTTCGCGCGGCGGGGGATAATAACTGACTACGTGGCTATCGGCGGGAAAAACATAATGGAAATCTGATTTTTTTTACATTTTCTCAAAAATTAGAGTCGGCGGGTCCGTAATCTGAAAAATATAAAACACCTGGCCTTAGACAACTGTGTCACCCATGTTACCCTCCAACAGTCAAGGGTAACCCATGATCACAGGTGTCTGGCACGGCTAAGGGAGGCAACTCTGCACAAACAGGATAACTTGAGGATGAGTCACTACCTGCACAAGCTGCAGAAGATACTGAGAGAGTTTGTCGTCACGGAGACCACGGTCCAGACATTCCACGGCAAACTGTCGGACCCTCAGATCGGAGTAGGAGCAATCCAACAGTTCCAGGGCCACCTCTGGCAAAACCGAAGGCCATCTTCTCAACAATACATACAGCTGCAATACAAAAATACAACATGAATCCTACAGTCTCAACAATACATACAGCTGCAATACAAAAATACAACATGAATCCTACAGTCTCAACAATACATACAGCTGCAATACAAAAATACAACATGAATCCTACAGTCTTGTCTTGTCTGGGTAACCGAAGGCCATCTTCTCAACAATACATACAGCTGCAATACAAAAATACAACATGAATCCTACAGTCTCAACAATACATACAGCTGCAATACAAAAATACAACATGAATCCTACAGTCTCAACAATACATACAGCTGCAATACAAAAATACAACATGAATCTGACAGTCTTGTCTTGTCTGGACTATGTCAAATATGTCATTTAACAATACATACAGCTGCAATAAAACAAATACAACATGAATCCGACAGTCTTGTCTTGTCTGGACTATGTCAAATATGTCATTTAACAATACATACAGCTGCAATAAAACAAATACAACATGAATTCTACAGTCTTGTCTTGTCTGGACTATGTCAAATATGTCATTTAACAATACATACAGCTGCAATAAAACAAATACAACATGAATCCGACAGTCTTGTCTTGTCTGGACTATGTCAAATATGTCATTTAACAATACATACAGCTGCAATAAAACAAATACAACATGAATCCGACAGTCTTGTCTTGTCTGGACTATGTCAAATATGTCATTTAACAATACATACAGCTGCAATAAAACAAATACAACATGAATTCTACAGTCTTCTCTTGTCTGGACTATGTCAAATATGTCATTTAACAATACATACAGCTGCAATAAAACAAATACAACATGAATCCGACAGTCTTGTCTTGTCTGGACTATGTCAAATATGTCATTTAACAATACATACAGCTGCAATAAAACAAATACAACATGAATCCGACAGTCTTGTCTTGTCTGGACTATGTCAAATATGTCATTTAACAATACATACAGCTGCAATAAAACAAATACAACATGAATCCGACAGTCTTGTCTTGTCTGGACTATGTCAAATATGTCATTTAACAATACATACAGCTGCAATAAAACAAATACAACATGAATTCTACAGTCTTGTCTTGTCTGGACTATGTCAAATATGTCATTTAACAATACATACAGCTGCAATAAAACAAATACAACATGAATTCTACAGTCTTGTCTTGTCTGGACTATGTCAAATATGTCATTTAACAATACATACAGCTGCAATAAAACAAATACAACATGAATCCGACAGTCTTGTCTTGTCTGGACTATGTCAAATATGTCATTTAACAATACATACAGCTGCAATAAAACAAATACAACATGAATCCGACAGTCTTGTCTTGTCTGGACTATGTCAAATATGTCATTTAACAATACATACAGCTGCAATAAAACAAATACAACATGAATTCTACAGTCTTGTCTTGTCTGGACTATGTCAAATATGTCATTTAACAATACATACAGCTGCAATAAAACAAATACAACATGAATTCTACAGTCTTGTCTTGTCTGGACTATGTCAAATATGTCATTTAACAATACATACAGCTGCAATAAAACAAATACAACATGAATTCTACAGTCTTGTCTTGTCTGGACTATGTCAAATATGTCATTTAACAATACATACAGCTGCAATAAAACAAATACAACATGAATCCGACAGTCTTGTCTTGTCTGGACTATGTCAAATATGTCATTTAACAATACATACAGCTGCAATAAAACAAATACAACATGAATCCGACAGTCTTGTCTTGTCTGGACTATGTCAAATATGTCATTTAACAATACATACAGCTGCAATAAAACAAATACAACATGAATTCTACAGTCTTGTCTTGTCTGGACTATGTCAAATATGTCATTTAACAATACATACAGCTGCAATAAAACAAATACAACATGAATTCTACAGTCTTGTCTTGTCTGGACTATGTCAAATATGTCATTTAACAATACATACAGCTGCAATTTAGTAAAATCTAAATATTTTTTACATTTGTATACTTATCCTGCATTACTCCGTATTGCATTTACTGCTATGTTTGACAGAGAGACGAACTGTGTGAGATCCAGCTGCTGAAGAAAGTTGTCCCAACCAGCCCAGGAGGCAGCGCCCTCTCACAGTCGGCACGTGACCCGGAAGTCATGACGTCACACAAAAAGACATAACTGCTTTAAACATAACATCTGAAACTTCGTGGGGAGGTAGCGTAGCGAAAGGGAGGGCACTTAGACTTCGTAATGCAGGATAAGTATACAAATGTAAAAAATATTTAGATTTTACTAAATTTTTTAACTTATCCTGCATTACTCCGTATTGCATCTTTATCAGACGGCTTGGCCGGTGGGCATACTTGCAGATGTGAACCATATTAAACCCTCGTCAAGGTCCGATGAATCCGCACCGCATACAAGTGATGACCGGAACATCTACGACCATTCCTGTCTTCAGGAAACAAGAGTCGATGCAAAAACGAAACGCCCGAATAGGTAACCGAAATACAATGAGGCGTGTAGCCAAAATATATAACTTACCGAAGAGCGAAAGCGAAACGCAGTAGAACCTAGAGCTAATCTGAGGTGATAAACACCAGAGAGTTCGACGGGCCCCGCTCGGGGAATCGAAGAATCAGCGGCGTCGGCGGCAAAATCTACGACCAATCCCAAGAGCGAATGCGAAACGCAGGAGAGCCCTCTAGGCTGGAGGCAAGGAACACCGGTGAGGTCGACGGGCACCGCCCAGGTACCAGAGAAGCAGCGGCGTTGGCGTCGGCGCCGGTGTCCACATCTACTACCATTCCTGTCGTCAGGAAACGAGAGTTGATGCAAAAAGTAAAACCCGGATAGGTGACAGCAATAGAATGAGTCGGGTAACCCAAAACTAAAACTGACCTAAGAGCGAATGCGGAACGCAAGAGAGCCGTCTCGTCTGGGGTGATAAACACCAGAGAGGTCGACGGGCCCCGCTCAGGGTATCGGAGAATCAGTGGCGTCGGAGATAGATGACCTGTTGGGCTACAACCAGGGACCAAAACTGTGAACGCCGGCGACAACTTTCAAGGCTACATCACGGAAGTAGTGGTTGGTGAAGGCGGTGTCCGATCGCCACGAACAGGCTTCCCTGAACGACGGGATGGAACAGTATACCGTGAAGAACCAGTGTAAATACGATCGCCCTGATCTCATTTTATTTCAGGTAATAGCCTTTGGGGGGAGGGTCCAATCCGGCGGCTCATACGCTTTAAGGATGACCGCCCGGAGCCACAGGGAAAAGTATTCCGGCTGACCAACGACAGCGACGAAGGGGAGACCGGCAGAAAAAGGTGTTTCCTAGACTTGCGGCAGTCTTTAGATCGTAGAATAACCTTCAGTGCCCTTACTGGGCATAATGACGCTCATCCTCATCCTCGGCACCCGCACTGGACGAGGGGGGAGGGGACAAGGAATGATCTATCAGGCTGTCCTGGGAGTTGAGTCTTTACGCTGACGTCCCAGTACGGTCCATGATGAACGGCGCCCTGGGTACCGCATTCGAACCGGGCATGGGAGACGTCGAGGGCGTGCTGTACATGGACTCGAGCGGCAGTAGTCAAAACCAGTAGAAACACCCGTCTTCTACTTAAGGTCGTAGAAGGAAGACGAGGGGAGTGGTTCGAAGGGCGTTGAAGACCACATTCAGATCCAACGCAGGCGGTCCAAACTTGGTCTTCAGGTCTTCAAGACTGAACGAGCGCAGCCAGGCCCGTAGGTCGGGAATTTTCGTCTTTCTCCGATCGTCCGGGATGGCCAGAACGGAGTAGATGGCGACCAGGTATGTGGGGGTGGTAAGCCCTTCAACCGATGGGTGCTACACAAGTACAGAAGGAACTGATCCAGGATCTGCGGTGACGCTGTCATCGGATCCTGGTGTTTGTCAGAACAAAATGCCTGGAACAAGCATCATTTATCAGCATACAGTCCCCCTGTAGATGGACGGTGGGCTGAAGCAATAGCCTTGGTCGCTCTAGCCGAATAGCCCTTGGCTTTCTGCATGTGTGTCAGGCGTGCAGACGATAACATGCGGGTATGAGGGTGTGGCTTCTCATTCTAACAGACCGTGTGGATGGAGCAGAAGGTTGGACCACACCGGAAGTTCCAGGGGTTGTCTCTGGCTATGTTTCGGAGGTCGATAACCCAACTTCTGGCTGACCAATAAGGCGAGACCAAAGTCAATGGCAGGGGTCGAGTGGCCTGGATCTCTGAAGAACCGTGGGAGGGAGAACCGGAGTCGGAAAAGCGTACGCGCGTAATCCTTCTCAGGAACGATGGAAGGCTTCGACTGCCACAGCGGTCGTATCCGGCACAGGTGGAATGGAAGACGACAGCTGGCCACATTCAGATATGAGGCAAACAGATCTAGGGTTGGGGTGTCGACCGTTTCACATAGTCTGGCCCGAGGCGCCGGAGAGCGTGAGGCGTCGGAGAGCTTGAGGCGCCTGGAACGCCGAAGATGGTGATTCTCGGGTGCGCCGGTCGAGTTTGTGGCGCCGGGAGAGGGGCGAGAACTCTGGGTCCGCAAACACCACACTACGGTGACGTCGTCAGTGGACACGATCAACAGGGCGTGACCGAGAATGCACTGTCAGCAAGTGCCGTCCTGGATAAGCATTTATCTCGAGGCCGTTGCTGTGCCAATGGTGTTGATCTCTGGATCACAGGTGGTCACAATGTGGGCTGGCGTGGGCCACTAGCCACTGACAAGGTGGCAGGGGAGGTAGTCAGCAACAGGGGTCTGCGATTGCGTACCGTCGGTACGATTCGGAAAAAGGTGTGATCGCCTGCGAGCCAACCTCAAGTAGACGAAGTAAACCAGCTTCACAATCGACCGCCGGGGCATCGACGTAACCGGGTAGTAGGAAGTCGAGGCAATATGGCCATTGCACGAAGTAATGAGATCGTTTTCATCCCTGAAGCGGCGTATAAGTACTCCTGTTCTTATATCGAGGTGACGATGGAGGACGACAACACGATACGAGGCAGGTATGCAACAGGGGTCAGTGGGACGGCCGAGGGACTTTAAGTATCAAATCGACACTGTGTCCGGTAGTCAAGGCGGAAGATAGGAAGGTGTCGTAGTCGAAAAGATCAAACCGGACGAAGGAAGGCGATCTCTTCCATCCCTTGAACGCCTATAGGCGCTATCGTTCTTATAGCGAAGGGTTGATGAAACAAGGTTCCTCGTGATAGCCGTGTTGGTAGAGGAGGTCTATTGTTTCCAACATCCGTGCATGGATGGACTGCGACAGGCGCCTGGTTGAGTGGTATCACCAAGCGTACAGGTAGACATGGAAACCAATCTGTAGAAATACATGGCACCCCTTGGCATGGTAAGTTGACCTAAATCCGGTCGGAGTTGTTGACAGTCCGAGTACTTGACACGTGACATGTAAATCACTCTGCGCAGTAGCCGAGAAAACCGCCTTGGAGTCGGAACTGAGGTGCAAACTCCACACACAGACAATCCTCAATGAACTGTGTGAGAGACGATCAAGTGGTGTACCCGAGTTTTGCGATAAAACACGGAACCCCATGGGCGTCGTGCAAAACCCGGGGAGCGCCGAGGAAGAGTCTCTCTCAGGAACGCTGGCGCTAGGGTAGGGTAGAACAGCGTTGATGTCTGCGATGTCGACGAAGTAAACTCTTTGTAAGTGGATGTCGTCGTCGAATCTGATACAGACGCTGTTCACATGACGCTCTGTTTCGATGGAAACCCGCAGGTCATCTCTCCGGAATCATAGCGCTTTAAACGACGGGATTATGGATAACGTCTCAGTGGGCAAGTTGAATCAGACCAACTGTCTATTGGTTGGTCTATTGGCGTCATCAGAGGTGCCGAGTCATCGGAGGCGCCGGGGGCGCCGGAGACATCAGCGTTGACGGTGTTGGAGACCGTGAACGGTCGTATGTCGTGCCAGGGGAGGCAGACTCTACGTTGGGAGCGCTGGAGCCGCCGGTGGAGTAGGAGACCGTGAACGGTCGTATGTCGTGCCAGGGGAGGCAGACTCTACGTTGGGAGCGCTGGAGCCGCCAGTGGAGTAGGAGACCGTGAACGGTCGTATGTCGTGCCATGGGAGGCAGACTCTACGTTGGGAGCGCTGGAGCCGCCAGTGGAGTAGGAGACCGTGAACGGTCGTATGTCGTGCCATGGGAGGCAGACTCTACGTTGGGAGCCGCCGTGAAGCTCCGCTGAGCGCTGCTGCCGTCAACGTAGGTGGGGGTCGACGAGCACGTTGAGCGAGGTGTGTCCTGGATACTCGCATGAGCTGAAGGATCACAGCTACGAATGACTGCAACATCGGCACTGCCTTGTGAAAGTACAGGGCGTCGTACAATCACGGCAGAAAGGGGCGGCCCCGACCAGATTTGTTCCCGCGGAAACAAGTGCAGCGAGGCAGAAAATCTGGAATTTAAGCAAAACATAACTATGTGGCAAAGCCACAAAGTGCGGGAAGCATAATGTGTGGCCAATCACAAAGTATGGGAAGCATAAAGTAACTCAAAAACAGTATATTTTATTAAAGTTTATGAGATAAACAAGTACGCTAAAAGGGAGCGAAAAGGCAAAGCCTTAAGCAAACACGTAACCATGTGGCAAAACCACAGAGTACGGGAGACATAATGTAACTCATAAACTTCGTATTATATTGAAGTTTATGAGAAGAAACAATTACGCTGAGAGGTAGCGAAAAGGCAAGGCTTTAAGCACACCAAAACAACATACATAAATGTAATGTATTACCCAAGCCAAAGAGAGAATTCAAAACGCAGAACACGACATTACGTGGCCACGTGGTGAATGGCCAAAATGGCGGGAAAGAAAACAAAATGGCGGGAACAACATTGCGCCCGTAAATTACTGTGACGTGAGCCACAGACGAGCGATAAACGTTACAATTTACGAAAGGGAAGACCCTAAGGTCACGGCCCATATCAGGTAACAATGTAGCAGCATATAATGAATGTAGAAACACACAAAATATAAAAAAACAAATAATAAGCTTTAATTTCCACAAGGGATACAAAGTACGTCCGTCCGTGGAGGTGACAAAGCAGTTATGTCTTTTTGTGTGACGTCATGACTTCCGGGTCACGTGCCGACTGTGAGAGGGCGCTGCCTCCTGGGCTGGTTGGGACAACTTTCTTCAGCAGCTGGATCTCACACAGTTCGTCTCTCTGTCAAACATAGCAGTAAATGCAATACGGAGTAATGCAGGATAAGTTAAAAAATAAAACAAATACAACATGAATTCTACAGTCTTGTCTTGTCTGGACTATGTCAAATATGTCATTTAACAATACATACAGCTGCAATAAAACAAATACAACATGAATCCGACAGTCTTGTCTTGTCTGGACTATGTCAAATATGTCATTTAACAATACATACAGCTGCAATAAAACAAATACAACATGAATTCTACAGTCTTGTCTTGTCTGGACTATGTCAAATATGTCATTTAACAATACATACAGCTGCAATAAAACAAATACAACATGAATCCGACAGTCTTGTCTTGTCTGGACTATGTCAAATATGTCATTTAACAATACATACAGCTGCAATAAAACAAATACAACATGAATCCGACAGTCTTGTCTTGTCTGGACTATGTCAAATATGACATTTAACAATACATACAGCTGCAATAAAACAAATACAACATGAATTCTACAGTCTTGTCTTGTCTGGACTATGTCAAATATGTCATTTAACAATACATACAGCTGCAATAAAACAAATACAACATGAATCCGACAGTCTTGTCTTGTCTGGACTATGTCAAATATGTCATTTAACAATACATACAGCTGCAATAAAACAAATACAAACATGAATCCGACAGTCTTGTCTTGTCTGGACCATGTCAAATATGTCATTTAACAATACATACAGCTGCAATAAAACAAATACAACATGAATCCGACAGTCTTGTCTTGTCTGGACTATGTCAAATATGTCATTTAATGTCAGACACATGATATTAACAGGAATGATTGGTTGGTTTGTTGTTTAACGCCGCACTCAGCAATATTCCAGATATATGACGGCGGTCTGTAAGGGACAATCTAGTGAATGACATCGTGAGCATCGATCCACGCAGTTGGGATACGATGTCTGACCACCCGATCCCATTAATTGCCTCTTACAACAAGCATAGTCACCATTTACGGCAAGCATGGGTTGCTGAAGACCTGTTCTACCCAGGATCTTCACAGGTCTTTTCCTCACTGATTTTAATGGAGGATGTTTACATATATCGTCAGTATTTTATGCCATGACCGCCTCTGTGGTCTTGTAGTAGAGTGTCTGCGAGGACAGCAAAACGTCTGGGTTTGATCCCCGGCCGCGTCATACCAAAACAAGTAAAAAGATGGTACTTGTTGCTACCCTGCCTAACGCTCGGCATTAACAGGCTAAAACAAGGTCTGGTCAGCTCGAAGTCAGTACGCTATGTCTAATCATCTGTTAAAATCAAAATGTTATTGTGAATGTGACCTAGATTTATCTGAGGAAAAGGCTTACTTTGACCCAACTGTTGCCATGGTTACTAACCTGTGCCACGTTTTCTCTGTCATTCCACTTCACAGAAGACAACAACTTGGGCAGAGAGTGGGGCATCGCTAGACAAAGTTCCCTGACACAAAAAAGCAAATATTCAAGACACTGAAACACACACAAAAACTAAACACACAATGTCCACATATATCTCAATGGAGCTGAAAATAATTCTGGACCAGACAAACCAGTGAATGACATAACAAGGAATGTTCCACGCTGGTGAGTGAGTGAGTGAGTGAGTGAGTGAGTGAGTGAGTGAGTGAGTGAGTGAGTGAGTGAGTGAGTGAGTGAGTGAGTGAGTGAGTGAGTGAGTGAGTGAGTGAGTGAGTGAGTGAGTGAGTGAGTGAGTGAGTGAGTGAGTGAGTGAGTGAGTGAGTGAGTGAGTGAGTGAGTGAGTGAGTGAGTGAGTGAGTGAGTGAGTGAGTGAGTGAGTGAGTGAGTGAGTGAGTGAGTGAGTGAGTGAGTGAGTGAGTGAGTGAGTGAGTGAGTGAGTGAGTGAGTGAGTGAGTGAGTGAGTGAGTGAGTGAGTGAGTGAGTGAGTGAGTGAGAACGCCACTTTTAGCAATCTTCCAGCAATATCACGGTGGGGGACACCAGAAATCGGGGCATGATGAATCACCTAAGTCAGGGAGCCTGAATGCTTGGACCACTCAAGGTCGCCTTTCAAAACAAGCAAAGGTTGCTTGGGGCCTATTGAAAGACCAAATCCCAACAGGGATATTTACACACGACAGTGGAGAGATGAAGATATTGTTACAATAGACAGACACAGGTTAGGGCTGGGACGGGTAACTCAGGTACTCGGGTCCGGTGGGTACTGAGTAGGACCCGAGTACCCACAGGACTACCCAGCCCCGTGGTTAGTGACGTGATATATTGTTTAAAGACAAAAAGTAACTAGAACTCTATGTTTAAACTACAAGTCACTAACGTTCGCACGCCATTCCTTCTGGCTTTTAAATGATTGAATAAAAACTTCAGTCAACTTCAGTGTATACACCAGATCGTTTTATACATGTATCAAAACACATTTTACCAGAGCTACGGTCAAACGTTTCCCAATCGGACAGATTGTACCTACCTCTTGAGACCTACAGCGGGTACCCAGGTAGGGTCGGGTAATAGGGGGTGGGTACCCGGGTAGTAAATTTGGACTCGTCCCAGCCCTAACACAGGTGATCATTGTGATACTTGTATTCACCAACAAACACACAATACACATCATACACTCTCACTTTTTGTCACTGTCAGCCTAAAGCAAAACAAAATAGCTGCTGTGAAGTCACGTTTCAAGTTTCCAAACCATGTTTCATGTATAAAGGCAGGTTCGTATTTGAGGGGAATATTCAAGTCCACATAGTCACATGTATGATCTTCATTGATCAGTAACACGCAGAGCTAAAAGTAATTTGACAATACCGTGATTTCACAAAATATAATTATCGAGATCATCTTTCCTAACATCCCCCAGTCGTTTTTAACTACCTCCTCTTCCACAGGAGTTCCTTGTCCTGCTCCGACAGATCTGACAGAGGGTCTTTGCTGATGATGTCTTCCAGCATCTTCTGGTCCCGCTCCAACTCTTGCTTTGTGTCGATCTGAAACAGGATCTACAGTCAATCCTCTGAAGCTGAGGGGGTAAAACAAGGACTGGCAGAGATACAGGGCAGTGTAATGTGTGCGAGGGGGTAAAACAAGGACTGGCAGAGATACAGGGCAGTGTAATGTGTGCCAGGGGGTAAAACAAGGACTGGCAGAGATACAGGGCAGTGTCAGGTGTGCGAGGGGGTAAAACAAGGACTGGCAGAGATACAGGGCAGTGCAATGTGTGCGAGGGGGTAAAACAAGGACTGGCAGAGATACAGGGCAGTGTCAGGTGTGCGAGGGGGTAAAACAAGGACTGGCAGAGATACAGGGCAGTGTAATGTGTGTGAGGGGGTAAAACAAGGGCTGGCAGAGATACAGGGCAGTGTAATGTGTGCGAGGGGGTAAAACAAGGACTGGCAGAGATACAGGGCAGTGTAATGTGTGCGAGGGGGTAAAACAAGGACAGGCAGAGATACAGGGCAGTGTAATGTGTGCGAGGGGGTAAAACAAGGACTGGCAGAGATACAGGGCAGTGTCAGGTGTGCGAGGGGGTAAAACAAGGACAGGCAGAGATACAGGGCAGTGTAATGTGTGCCAGGGGGTAAAACAAGGACTGGCAGAGATACAGCGCAGTGTAATGTGTGCGAGGGGGTAAAACAAGGACTGGCAGAGGTACAGGGCAGTGTAATGTGTGTGAGGGGGTAAAACAAGGGCTGGCAGAGATACAGGGCAGTGTAATGTGTGCGAGGGGGTAAAACAAGGACTGGCAGAGATACAGGGCAGTGTAATGTGTGTGAGGGGGTAAAACAAGGGCTGGCAGAGATACAGGGCAGTGTAATGTGTGCGAGGGGGTAAAACAAGGACTGGCAGAGATACAGCGCAGTGTAATGTGTGCCAGGGGGTAAAACAAGGACTGGCAGAGGTACAGGGCAGTGTAATGTGTGCGAGGGGGTAAAACAAGGACAGGCAGAGATACAGGGCTGTATCAGGTGTGCGAGGGGGTAAAACAAGGGCTGGCAGAGATACAGGGCAGTGTAATGTGTGCGAGGGGGTAAAACAAGGACAGGCAGAGATACAGGGCTGTATCAGGTGTGCGAGGGGGTAAAACAAGGGCTGGCAGAGATACAGGGCAGTGTAATGTGTGCGAGGGGGTAAAACAAGGACTGGCAGAGATACAGGGCGGTGTAATGTGTGCGAGGGGGTAAAACAAGGACTGGCAGAGATACAGGGCAGTGTAATGTGTGCCAGGGGGTAAAACAAGGACTGGCAGAGGTACAGGGCAGTGTAATGTGTGCGAGGGGGTAAAACAAGGACAGGCAGAGATACAGGGCTGTATCAGGTGTGCGAGGGGGTAAAACAAGGGCTGGCAGAGATACAGGGCAGTGTAATGTGTGCGAGGGGGTAAAACAAGGACAGGCAGAGATACAGGGCTGTATCAGGTGTGCGAGGGGGTAAAACAAGGGCTGGCAGAGATACAGGGCAGTGTAATGTGTGCGAGGGGGTAAAACAAGGACTGGCAGAGATACAGGGCGGTGTAATGTGTGCGAGGGGGTAAAACAAGGACTGGCAGAGATACAGGGCAGTGTAATGTGTGCGAGGGGGTAAAACAAGGACTGGCAGAGATACAGGGCAGTGTAATGTGTGTGAGGGGGTAAAACAAGGACTGGCAGAGATACAGGGCAGTGTAATGTGTGCGAGGGGGTAAAACAAGGACTGGCAGAGATACAGGGCAGTGTAATGTGTGTGAGGGGGTAAAACAAGGACTGGCAGAGATACAGGGCAGTGTAATGTGTGTGAGGGGGTAAAACAAGGACTGGCAGAGATACAGGGCAGTGTAATGTGTGCGAGGGGGTAAAACAAGGACTGGCAAAGATACAGGGCAGTGTAATGTGTGCCAGGGGGGGGTAAAACAAGGACTGGCAGAGATACAGGGCAGTGTAATGTGTGTGAGGGGGTAAAACAAGGACTGGCAGAGGTACAGGGCAGTGTAATGTGTGTGAGGGGGTAAAACAAGGACTGGCAGACATACAGGGCAGTGAAATGTGTGTGAGGGGGTAAAACAAGGACTGGCAGAGATACAGGGCAGTGTAATGTGTGCCAGGGGGTAAAACAAGGACTGGCAGAGGTACAGGGCAGTGTAATGTGTGTGAGGGGGTAAAACAAGGACTGGCAGAGATACAGGACAATGTAATGTGTGCGAGGGGGTAAAACAAGGACTGGCAGAGATACAGGGCAGTGTAATGTGTGCCAGGGGGTAAAACAAGGACTGGCAGAGGTACAGGGCAGTGTAATGTGTGTGAGGGGGTAAAACAAGGACTGGCAGAGATACAGGACAATGTAATGTGTCCGAGGGGGTAAAACAAGGACAGGCAGAGATACAGGGCAGTGTAATGTGTGTGAGGGGGTAAAACAAGGACTGGCAGAGGTACAGGGCAGTGTAATGTGTGTGAGGGGGTAAAACAAGGACTGGCAGAGATACAGGACAATGTAATGTGTCCGAGGGGGTAAAACAAGGACAGGCAGAGATACAGGGCAGTGTAATGTGTGCGAGGGGGTAAAAAAAGGACTGGCAGAGGTACAGGACAATGTAATGTGTGCGAGGGGGTAAAACAAGGGCTGGCAGAGATACAGGGCAGTGTAATGTGTCCGAGGGGGTAAAACAAGGACAGGCAGAGATACAGGGCAGTGTAATGTGTGCGAGGGGGTAAAACAAGGACTGGCAGAGGTACAGGACAATGTAATGTGTGCGAGGGGGTAAAACAAGGGCTGGCAGAGATACAGCGCAGTGTAATGTGTGTGAGGGGGTAAAACAAGGACTGGCAGAGATACAGTGCAGTGTAATGTGTGCCAGGGGGTAAAACAAGGACTGGCAGAGATACAGGGCAGTGTCAGGTGTGTGAGGGGGTAAAACAAGGACTGGCAGAGATACAGTGCAGTGTAATGTGTGCCAGGGGGTAAAACAAGGACTGGCAGAGATACAGGGCAGTGCAATGTGTGCGAGGGGGTAAAACAAGGGCTGGCAGAGATACAGGGCAGTGTCAGGTGTGTGAGGGGGTAAAACAAGGACTGGCAGAGATACAGGGCAGTGTCAGGTGTGTGAGGGGGTAAAACAAGGACTGGCAGAGATACAGTGCAGTGTAATGTGTGCCAGGGGGTAAAACAAGGACTGGCAGAGATACAGTGCAGTGTAATGTGTGCCAGGGGGTAAAACAAGGACTGGCGGAGATACAGTGCAGTGTAATGTGTGCCAGGGGGTAAAACAAGGACTGGCAGAGATACAGGGCAGTGTCAGGTGTGTGAGGGGGTAAAACAAGGACTGGCAGAGATACAGTGCAGTGTCAGGTGTGCGAGGGGGTAAAACAAGGACTGGCAGAGATACAGGGCAGTGTAATGTGTGCGAGGGGGTAAAACAAGGACTGGCAGAGAGCCAGGGCAGTGTCAGGTGTTCCATCTGCAGCATGGTATCTCTCATGGTAGCACAATAAAACTGGCATTAGTCTGGACAAGCACAAGCATCCAGCCAGCCACCCACACCCATGCACGTCCAAGCACATCACTATAGAAGTGCAATAATCTTGAAAGCGACATTAAACCTTATTTCACCTCTCCAAATGCGAACAAAACTGACATCATGAAGATCGATCTACGCAAATGGGATACGATGAAAGTCATCTCCTCACCTGACTGTAGGTATCCCGATGTGTGATGTGGTTGGCCAGCTGTTCGAAGTGGGAGTCTGGGGGGTACCGCACGGGATGGCTGAACCGGTCAAACTCCAGCTCCAGACAAGGACAGTCTTTGTCTGGGTTCGAGCCTGGAACAGGTGGGGTAGGGTTACAGATTTCAACATCAGAGACAATTCCACTGTTTAGACATACACGAACCCTTCTCCAAGAGAAGGAGCTCAACAGGTATATTTTTTCATTTTACATCACACATTTTTTTTAATAATTATTTTTCCAATAATATTTTGCAGTGGTGGAACCACAAATATGGCCAGGGCTTCACACATTATATCGCTGTGGGAATCAAACCCAGGTCTTCATCTTGACAAGTGGACACCTTAACCACAGGGCTACCCAGGCCCCCGATCAGCAACTAGAAGATATCCTCATGTATATTCCTTGCCTGCATGCCACATTGTCTTAGATGGTGTATGTCTATATGACAAAACAGCTATCTTATCTATGAAAATGTTAATAGTATCTAAACTGAAAAATCTTTAATGTTAAAAAAGCACTTTCTGTGTAAAGTTATAAAACTAGTATTTGAACATGTTTCCGTTTAAACCCCACTGAAAACACTGTAGTTTTATCTGTAAATATATGTACAGATATAGGATTTACATATCCGGTACCAGCTCAACAAATCCTGCACCTGTCTTCGTGTGATGTCCAAGTTGGTTCAGACAACCTCCTGAAGCCAGTGTGTTCAGACAACAAACCTACTGAAGCCAGTGGGTTCAGACAACAAACCTACTGGAGCCAGTGGGTTCAGACAACAAACCTACCGAAGCCAGTGGGTTCAGACAACAAACCTACTGAAGCCAGTGTGTTCAGACAACAAACCTACTGAAGCCAGTGGGTTCAGACAACAAACCTACCGAAGCCAGTGGGTTCAGACAACAAACCTACTGAAGCCAGTGTGTTCAGACAACAAACCTACTGAAGCCAGTGGGTTCAGACAACAAACCTACTGGAGCCAGTGGGTTCAGACAACCAACCTACCGAAGCCAGTGGGTTCAGACAACAAACCTACTGAAGCCAGTGGGTTCAGACAACAAACCTACTGGAGCCAGTGGGTTCAGACAACCAACCTACTGAAGCCAGTGTGTTCAGACAACAAACCTACTGAAGCCAGTGGGTTCAGACAACAAACCTACTGGAGCCAGTGGGTTCAGACAACCAACCTACCGAAGCCAGTGGGTTCAGACAACCAACCTACTGAAGCCAGTGGGTTCAGACAACAAACCTACTGAAGCCGTTAACCTGAGACAGCATTCCAGAGATGGAAGCATCTCCCTTCACTGACCTGGTGATCCGATGGGGTTAACCAGGTCGTCCATTCCCTGGGGCATGGGCCATAGGTGGAGACTGATCTTCTCTGACAGGAGGCGGTCGTTGAAGTCAAACATCTGCAGGTTACCCCACGCCAGCGCATAGTGGACCTGTTGGAATAAAAAATGCCCAGTTGGTTCAGACACAAGAATAGACACAACAAATGTTAGTCAACCCACTAATGTATTATCCGACCCAGGTCTTCAGCTAGTGGAATAAATGTTTAATCCACTAGGCAACCCACTGATGTTTTATCCATCCCAGGTCTTCAGCTAGTGGAATAAATGTTTAATTCACTAGGCAACCCACCGACATATATCTATTTATGTAAACCATTCCAGGTCTTCAGCTAGTGGAATAAATGTTTAATCCACCAGGCAACCCACCGACATATATCTATTTATGTAAACCATTCCAGGTCTTCAGCTAGTGGAATAAATGTTTAATCCACCAGGCAACCCACCGACATATATCTATTTATGTAAACCATTCCAGGTCTTCAGTTAGTGGAATAAATGTTTAATCCACCAGGCAACCCACCGACATATATCTATTTATGTAAACCATTCCAGGTCTTCAGCTAGTGGAATAAATGTTTAATCCACCAGGCAACCCACCGACATATATCTATTTATGTAAACCATTCCAGGTCTTCAGCTAGTGGAATAAATGTTTAATCCACCAGGCAACCCACCGACATATATCTATTTATGTAAACCATTCCAGGTCTTCAGCTAGTGGAATAAATGTTTAATCCACCAGGCAACCCACCGACATATATCTATTTACATAATCCATCCCAGATCTTCAGTATGAAAGTAAACACTTAATATCCACAAGGATACCACATTGCCAACACCCATTTTAGGCAAGCAATTGGTTTTCAGCTAGAAGAGCAAACGCTTAAACCTCTCAGTTCACTTGAGGTCTGAAAGCTGCTGACATCCAGTGTCGGGTACTGATGCTGAGCTGACTACTTCATCATTTCCAGTGAGTGAGATTTCCAGTGAGTGAGATTTCCAGTGAGTGAGTGAGTGAGTGAGTGAGTGAGTGAGTGAGTGAGTGAGTGAGTGAGTGAGTGAGTGAGTGAGTGAGATTTCCAGTGAGTGAGTGAGTGAGTGTGTGTGTGGGGGGGGGAGGGGGGGGGGGGGGGGATAGATGCTGCTTTGAACAGTATTTCAGTTATATCACGGCGTTTCAGCTTAATGTGGGAGGAAAGCCTGAAAGGATGCAGGTCTCAGACATTTACCCCTTTGGTGAAACCCACAAGCATGGGTATGATAAATAACAATGAAATATGTGTACTGGTTGGCAACAAGGAAGTCACAAGGCTGAAGCTGTTCTTCTAGAAACAGCCTAGGGCAGTTCTCCTAGTAATATTGATAACCTAGGGCAGTTCTCCAAGTAATAACCTAGGCCAGTTCTCCTTGTAATAGCCTAGGCAAGTTCTTCTAGTAATATTGATAACCTAGGCCAGTTCTCCTAGTAATATTGATAACCTATGGCAGTTCTTCTAGTAAAAACCTATGCCAGTTCTTCTAGTAAAAACCTATGCCAGTTCTTCTTGTAATAACCTAGGCAAGTTCTTCTAGTAATAACCTAGGCAAGTTCTTCTAACAATAGCCTAGGCAAGTTCTTCTAACAATAGCCTAGGCCAGTTCTTCTAGTAATAGCCTAGGCCAGTTCTTCTAACAGTAGCCTAGGCCAGTTCTTCTAGTAATAGCCTAGGGCAGTTCTCATAGTAATATCAATAACCTAGGTAAGTTCTTCTAGTAATAGCCTAGGCCAGTTCTTCTAGTAATAACCTAGGCCAGTTCTTCTAGTAATAACCTTGGCTAGTTCTTCTGGTATAATCTAGGCCAATTCTTCCAGTAATAACCTTGGCCAGTTCTAGTAATAACCTCGGCTTGTTCTTCTAGTAATAACCTAGGTAAGTTCTTCTAGTAAAAACCTGGGCCAGTTCTTCTAGTAATAACCTCAGCCAGTTCTTCTAGTAATAACCCCCGCCAGTTCTTCTAGTAATAACCTAGGACAGTTTTTCTAGTAATAACCTAGGCCAGTTCTTCTGGTACGACTCGAGGCCAGTTCTTCACTCCAACCACAAAAATAGTCAGATGTTTGGATATTTCATAATTTAAACTTAATCTTTATAACAATCCTACTTTTTTGTTCTTCCTCTTGGAGACGGAGCATATAGAGAGACAGAGACGAGCACTGCGGGGAATATCTGGGATCGGCAGGAACTCCAGCCACTGGTCCCAGCGTGGATTGGTCGAGTCCACCTGCTGGGTGTTCCGGGCCTCACAAAGAGGCTCCGTCCCGTGATACACGCACGCCTTCACGTAAATCTGAAGGAAGAAGTCAACAGAAGATAATAATGATGAGGACTCTCCTTCACATGAAATACCACTGAAACAGGGACGGTAATACAGCATGATACAGATCGACTGGTACTCCAATCTCTAGCCTGAATGTCATTGTACAAGTGTTCCTACATTCCTTCTTCCTTCTTCCTTCTGAGTGAGTGAGTAAGTGAGTGAGTGAGTGTCGGAATAGATGCTGCTTTGAACAGTATTTCAGTTATATCGCGGCGTGTCAGCTTAATGTGGGAGGAAAGCCCGAAATGATGCAAGTCTCAGACATTTACCACTTTGGTGAAACCCACAACAGATGTATGAGTGAGTGAGTGAGTGAGTATGCTAGAAATATCAAGGTGGGGGACAGAAATGGGCTTCACACAATGTACTCATGTGGGGAATCGAACCCGGGTCTTCAGCGTGACGAGTGAACGCTTTAACCACTAGGCTACCTGACTGTACCTCCTCCTCCTTGAATACAGGCCCAGGAGGTTCATAAAACTGAAGACAGCTTGGAAATGAGTTTGCACAGTGACTCTATGTTTGGAATTTAAAACTATATCTCAACTGAACATGCATCATTTGTTTGTTTGTTTGTTGTTTAACGCCGCAGTCAGCAATATTCCAGCTATATGACAACTGTCTGTCAATAATCAAGTCTGGACCAGACAGTTCTCCTGTGATGACATCATGAGCACCGATCCACATAATTGGGATACGATGACATGCATCAACCAAGTCAGTGAGCCTGACCATTCGATCCCGTTAGTCGCCTCTTACGACAAGCACAGTCGCCTTTTACTGACACAACATCCGCTGTACCTTGCCGAGCTCCTTGACATTCACATACGTGGCACAGTTCATCTTAATCCTCAGCATGGCCTGAACGTCCCAGAGGGACACGGTCTGCTGGTTGTTGATCTCATTCAGAGCCTGAATACCTGAAAAAACAAAAACAAGGGAAGTAACTCTCTATGTTGGGACATGTAAAGCAGGGCCTGTCAATCAAAAGAATTGTGAATGTTCTTGAGTTGAATATTATGAATAAACAAAGTCTTATGCAGCTTTGAGTGAGTGAGTGAGTGAGTGAGTGAGTGAGTGAGTGAGTGAGTGAGTGAGTGAGTGAGTGATGCTCCTTTGAACAGTATTCCAGTATATCACGGCGAGTGAGTGAGTGAGTTTGGTTTTACGCGGCTTTTAGCAATATTTCAGCCATATCATGGCAGGGGACTCCCGAAAAAGAAGTATTCATGTCGGGAAACAAACCCGGGTCTTCGGCGTTATGAGCGAATGCTTTTACCACTAGGCTACCCCACTGCCCTGCAGCTTTAAGGAATTTTAATGCAATACAATGGCAGGGGACGCAAGAAATCAGATTCACACACTTTACATTTGGGGAATCGGACAGGGCCATATGCTATGATGAGCGAATGCTACCCAACTGCCCCTTGATTATTACAGAAAACATCAAATAACATGAATACATACACCCTCATAATTATTATTAGCATTATTATTAGTTACGGTTTGCCCAGTCTAGGTTCAAACTTGGATGTTACACTAAATATGGTAAACTTAAAACCAGACAGCTTCTGAAAGTCTCCTCACACAGTCACACTAATTTGACATGGCGACGTACCTCGTACGGAATATGACGGAAGGAAGAACTCATTCTCGTGCAGCGAGTCGAACACACTCTCCTTCAGCAACAGCATCAGCTGTGGGATCCTCTCGTTGGCGATGCACTCACGGATCGGCTGCCGAAAACACATAATTAAATCAGTTTTCGCCATTACACACCTCAATGTTTTTAGCCACTATCCTGAAGGCTGAGTATAGCAAAATTATTGCGGTCTTGCATCTGCCAATGCTAGTGCATATACTTAAGCCAAATACATCTCTAACATAACACATGTAATGCTAAGATATTTGTTGGGGCTAGCATGAAGATTCAAACGCTTTGGCACAAACTGCAAGAGGACAGTTTTCACGTGTCTACACACTGTCAACTGACCTTATACTGGCTAATGGGGCAGTCCTCCAGGAAGAACTGATCGCACCCACACACTTTGAGAACGTAGGCGTGACTGTACTCCTCGATACACCGCTGCGTGTGCTCCTTGGACATCATCATCAGCCGACTTCGTCGACGGATGGTTTCTGCGATCACGTCCGTTGGTGACGCATTGTGGGCAACCTTCACGCTGTACTTGGACCTGTTATTGTCCTCGGCCACTACCCACACACAGATTATCACAGAGTTATCTGAAAATGAAGAGATGCTTATACAGGCTATACTTTCCCCTGGTAGGTCGCCCCACCTAGTTTCCCATCCTAACTATGGGAGTTGAGACGGAGGCTGTGACTCACTGGAGTGGTGGCATAAAGCTGCCAAGATCTGTCACAACGTTCCCTTATAGTATTCAGGCTTTTATCCCTGCCACTGAACTCAACTAAATGCAGTTGGAGAAGGAAAAATTATTGCTCAAATTTGTCAGAGATATACAAGTCACCTCCACAAACTGAATAACATTGATTGAGTGAGTGAGTATGGTTTTACGCCGCTTTTAGCAATATTCCAGCAATATCATGGCGGGGAAAACCAGAAATGGGCTTCACACATTGTACCCATGTCGGGAATCGAACCCGGGTCTTCAGCGTGACAAGCGAACGCTTTACCCACTAGGCTACCCAACCGCCCCAACATGTATTGGGAAATTTGTAATTCCAATCTGGGAATTTCTGCAAACATTTGCTGAACATGCTTAATACTTGGGCCGATTATCGGCCTCTGAGCAGGTGTAGATAAATCCCTGCTATCTCACATCCTTTCATTGTCCTGATCCCAACAACATCACCAGCACACTTGTTCCCGACCTTCTTTACTTGCGTAATTACACCACATTCAATGTGAAATGACTAATGTTTTTAAAATTTGGATGAACATCTAACAGTAACAATGCACATATTGTGACCGTATCATCAATGACATGTTCCTGTAATTCAAGTGAAAGATAAGAGCCTATGGTATAAACATGATAAATAGTGGACGTCATCCTATTGTTCTCCAGCGGGATTAAATCTCATAAACAGAGATGTTATAATACCCCCAGGATTTTAGCTTACAAGTTAGCTTACAACTAGGCTACAGAGGTGCTGATAAATCACAATGATCTTAAGAATGTCCTTTTCAAGCACCGTAACCCAGCAACAGATATTTAAAACCCGTTTCCTGAGGTTTATGGAAACTATGTTTGAAACATAAAAATATTGATAAATGATCTTCCAAGTATCTCTTTTCGGTTTATAAGTTAGATAAAACACTTCCCCTCTGTTTTATCCTGCAGATGCCGGTTTTAAATATCATAAAAACCCTCAGACATGCTTTAACGCCGTACTCCACAATATTCCAGCTATATGACGACAGTCTTTAACTAATAGTCTTGACCAGATAATCCAGAGATTGACATTATGAGCATCGATCTACGCAATTGGGATACGATGACATGCATTAACCAAGTCAGCAAGCCTGACCAGCTGATCAAGTTTGTTGCCACCTATGTTTGTCTTCACATGCTAAACAAGTGGAATAAATGAATGGGGTGGTCTGGCTCAGTGACTTCACTCACATCTTCCCGAGGCAAGTGAGTTAACTGACTATAAAAGTCCAGTTTCCACCCTTGCCGAACTAGGCTGGTATTATGGAGTTACATTTTGGCTGGACTAACGAGTCTATGCATAGTCCAATCAAAATCGCGCACCGAAATCCGGTTCGTAAAGTGTCATGCAGATTTCGGTCGACTGCAGCATTTGCAAAACATATGCACCGCCAACTTGTCAACAGATATTTTCTAAATCTATTCATGTTTTTAATCAAGGTGCTCACGTGATTTGATGCACTTCGCGATGTAAGACTTGTTTTATCACAATTTAGATCTTGATTATCGATCAGATCGTCTTGACTGGGTGCCACCGTTTTGTTTGAAGCAAATGAAAGTGATATGAGAGGTTGAATCTGATTGGTCAGTAGGAGAGGCATACAAAGGACATAACTCGCAATAGCCACAGGTGGCGCTACGATCGAGCCCAGTAATTACAGCCTAGTTCAGCAAGGGTGGAAACTGGACTTTTAAAGTCGGGAAGATGCTTCACTCAATGAGTTCCATCATACCATGGTATCAATCACTGGATTGTCAGGTCCAGACTTGAATATGGCAGTGGAACGTTAAACAACAAACAAAACATCATATACCATGTATACTCACCATCACCAAATTTTTTGAGTTTTTCAGTTAGATGTGGAGGCAGCATTTCATTTGACTCAATATCCGGAGGATACGCATACATCGCTCGACTAAGTATGTTGTCCTTCTCTCGCTGGTCGATCGTCTCCTTGCACACTCCCAGAATGTTCCGCCGAAATGTCATTACTTCTAAATCTTTCATCTCGTTGAATTCATTCACAGGTTTACCAATCAACATGCCTGAAAATTGCAAGAAAAATTAGCATTTCTGAATAAATGCAACGTTTTTATATGTACCTGACACTACATAGTGCTTTAGCATCCATACCTTTTACAAACAGACAGAACTGGAACGTATAGACAGTTGAAACAGACTATAGCCCATGCCCAGATACCCAGGAGTTATCCCCCTTGGCCCCTAGGAGCATCCCTCCATGATGGTCGAGAAGGAGATAGGCTTTGGTAATCCTGCGCTTGTGTCAAGCCACATTCTCTTGCAGCTCCCACTAGAGGAACCTCCTTGGCAGGGTACTCAGGGTTTTGGTCCTTCCTGGGGGACCGGCGCTGTGAGTAAAATGAAGAACCACATCCAAAGAAACTAGGGCTCTTGTAGAAATAGGAATCCCGGTCAGGAAAAACGATGATAAAAACAGATATAAACTGCTGCATAATCCTCAACTCATTGTGAGGTCACATTGGCCCCGACCTTGCCCAGAAAAGACCTGAAAAATCGTCGTAGGGGTGTCAGACTTTGCCAGACGAGTTTTTCGGTCCACTGACCAACCGTAAGCCCAAATTTTTTCGATTTGGCGCAAGGACAGTTGAGGCAGTACTGGAGTGAGGGGGCTTGGTGAAGGAACTGGCGCTGCTGAAATGGTGGAGAGCAAAGACCATGCGGGAGAGATGGGAAGAAACAAACGCGGGAGGGAAGTCCCCACTAGCAGGCACACGATGTCGTCCACAGCTGGGGAGGCGGCGACAATGGATGGTCAAACAGAAAGAATAGCAAAAGCATCGACTTAGGAGAATGAGAAGTGGGATCCCAACTGGTCATGTGGCAGGAGAAACCACACTGGAGTCAGGATCAGATGGTCCGTCTGTGGGGAAAATGCCCAGTCCTGATGAAGTGCAGGGCAAATGATCAGCAACCCTGCTGGGGTCAGGTGTGAAAGAGGAGGCAATGCCACAATGAAGGTCCAAGTGGTGACGATCACTAAGGGGATCACTTAGGAAGAGCGTGGTGACTCTGAGGCGCCTGATGCCAAGTGTCATGTCGCCAGAGGCAAAGGAAGGGTCGTGATGATCAGGCGATTGGTCCTGGCGCCTGCAATCATGAGCTTGTCAAAACAATGATCTGGAGATGGTCTGGTGACAGCTGGCCATCGTCTGGTGACAGCTAGCGATAGTCTGGAAACAACTGGCGAACAGATGGCAACAAAGCATGCTGAAGTAATCCGGGTGATCGTCAGGTTACAGGAATGGTGACAGGAATGGTGACAGGAACCCACAGACTCCTGGGGATTGGGACACAGGCTATAGTTTGTTTCAATTGTCTCTCCATTCCAGTACTGTCTGTTTGTAAAAGCACTATGTAGTGCAAGGTAAAACTAAACTAAACACTATGCATAGTGACAGAAATATTTTCTACATATGTTCTTGAATTTTATTATAAGCATTTGAACATTTATACATATAAAGTACTCAAAACAAATTCAAACACACCCACAATGGAAGGCTGGTTATTGAAATACCCCTAGCCATGACAGACTAACTGTAGTCATATGAAAAAATCAGGCATTCTTTAATTTCTTTTGAAAAGTATACACGATATAAAAAGGACAATCTAACATACCTATTTCATAATTCAACATTTTTTCTTCTCGGTTTCCAATTGGTTCCATAACTTTGAGGGTGGCTTGAAACAACCGCAAGTCACAGAGTCTCCGCGTTTCATCATAAAACTCCTCTCTTTCAGCATCCTGGGTAATTCCTACAAAAATGTATGACTCGGCACTCAGAAGATGACCATGGAGGGGATATTTCTTGGATTCTATCCACAGATCAGTTTTGATTTTCTCAAGAGTTGCGTCCCTGTTGCACAACATCGGTACAATGATGCCAGTCGGCAGGAGACAGTCGACGGGCACCTGTGAGGGCATCAAGTGATGCCCCCATAATTCCCCTGAGCTCGGTGGCATCACTGGCACTTGAACCTCAGTCAGGAAAACATATGGATCCTAGGTCCCTGTAATACAAACAAACAAACAAATATTAAACCATGGTAACAGCAACTGTAAGTCACTGCAGTTCCCTTTTATGACAAGCCATGCTACCTATCTTAAAACAAAAAAGGCCGTTATAAATTAATGGAGATTTTGATCTCCAACCACCTCAATTATCTCACTACCATCAAATTATTTCTCTGTCCAAAAGTATCTACAGATTAAGAAAATCCATTTGAGTGTTCCCTTCTTTATGATGAGCATGTGGAGAATACCTCCGCGGTCTAGTGGATAGAGGAGAATACCTCCGCGGTCTAGTGGATAGAGGAGAATACCTCCGCAGTGTAGTGGATAGTGTCTGCCCAGAGAGCGGAAGGTCAGTGGTTTGATCCCCTGCCACATCATACCAAGAGACGTTAAATAATCATACTTGTAGTTACCCAAGCTGGGGCTCGGCATTAAGGGAATAAAACGAGGACTGGTCGGTTCGTTGTCAGTATTCTGTGTCTGAGTGGGGAATCCATGTTAAACTGTGGCATGGTATCTCACTAGCACTATAAAACTGGCATTAGTCTGGACAAGCAGCTAAATCATTACCTGCATTCCAAGGAAATGTGAAATTGACAGAGGCTTAAATCCAGGACAGGACTAAATCATTTAGATAAACTTTCATTGAGAGCATGAATGGAATTATCAAACTATTAATATTGTGATCTACTACTTAAAAATTCCTATTTGAAAATTGAACAAAAATCGGTTGGTCTCAAAATCTATGCTGCCGTTTTCCATCTTGCGATTTTATTATTGTGAAGGTTTTCGGTGTATCCTGATTGAGGTAGGACGTATAATTCGAATGGTGTAGGGCCTAACATGCCTCGATCATGTCAATATGACTGTGGTAAACCCCTAACCTTTATCATGTTAAAACCCTAAACTTTATCGTGTTAAAATAACCTAACAATACAGCCAGACATGAAGCAATATCCGGCAAAATATATTACAAGTTAATCTGACAAACATAAAAGCAAGAATATTACATCAACATGATGTATCCTGAATTGAGGTATGACATATAATTCGAATGGTGTAGGGCCTAACATGTGGTAATCCCCGAACCTTTATCATGTTAAAACCCTAAACTTTATCATGTTAAAATAATCTAACAAGACAGACATGAAGCAATATCCGGCAAAATATATTACAAGTTAGTCTGACAAACATAAAAGCAAGAATATTACATCAACATGACAACAACAAAATACAGCATAGTAAAACCCGAATCACTTCATCATGCTTACTGTTCTTTGATTCACAAAAATCAGCTCATTTGGCGTTCATACACATGGCAGGAACACTACGTGACACTACTGAGACCGTTGTTTTTGTCCCAGAATAACTTAGACACTCCCGCTAAGTACGCGCATGAAACATCAAGGAAAACAGTCTGTTTTGGTAAACAAACGGGCGCGCTGCAGTCACTGCGTGCGTAAAAACGATCCACACTGATCGATTTCTTGGGTTTAGAATATCCGCAACTTACTATATGAACCACCCGGTGCAATTAGAAGTGTGTACAACGATGACATCTTAATGGCAATATGCACAGGATATCACATGGCTATTTTTTGCTTCACTTTGTCAAATTCTCGTCTCCGAACTAAATATAATTCAGACTTCCGGTTTTAGTAGCTACTATTTATATTACGACTTATGTTATTTAATGCAAATATTAAACACAATAAGTATTATCACTGAGACATTTGTTTAAACTTATATTACACTTACAAACACTGATGACTTAATATATAAGATAGATTAGTTTCCTGAGTTTGTGTTCTCAAAAATACATATTAAAATTTCTATTTTAGATTGAAATAGAAACAGTGTTCATATATCGTAGTTGAGGTAAATTTATTTTGTGACAACCGGTGTAACATTTATTTATGTCTCCTATGAGAATATGACTTGAGCGACAATGTTTGCATTATAAAATATTGAATACGAATGAGTGAGTGAATGTTGTTCAGCGCCGCTGCTGGCAATATTCCATCTAGTTTGCATCTTGTAAACCATGCAGTGACTGAAAGCACGAGTAACGATCTATGCAGCTGCGGCAACCGTACGTATCGGTGTTCGGCTCCCTAAATAAATTTACGATTTTGATTTTGACTTGTGAGTCTCTCCTTAATTTTAATTTTGATATCTTTATGTCGCTACAACGACAAGTCAATATCAAAAGCGTTTATAGGGAGCACAGGGATATAGCAGCAGCTCTGTACGTACGCTGTCAATTCTACAGTGAACAATGTTACACTCTTCTATAACAGCTAGGTGGATTCGTATAGATCTCCAGATTGTGTCATAAACAATGAACGGTAACACCGCTGCTACATACGACGGTCGTACCTGCGGTGAAAAATCGATAAAATACTTATCCTCAAGTTTATTTGCGAAAATCTTGTACCAGCTGTACACTGATACGACGCAAGGGTTCTTAAACTGGATGCCAAGATAAATTGATAAATGATATGTCGGATTTGTAGAGTAGGGGGTTGGCACCCAGAACCAGACAATCCAGCGATTGACACCATGAGCACCGATCTACGCAATTGGGATACAATGATATGCATCATCCAAGTCAGCGAGTCTGACCACCCGATCCTGTTAGTCGCCTCGTACGACAAGCATGGGTTGTTGGAAAGCAGTTTAAACCCGTATCTTCAATCTTCACGGGGAAGAGAGGCCAATGATTGATAGCATGAGCAATGTACCACACTTTAGTGCCATTTCACGATATCCTGTACACTAATTGGACTTCGACGAGACAAACCCGTGATTAAGAATGAGAAGATAATTTCAGCGGCGATTCAAGGGTGTTCTACAACACACCATCCCCGACCTCACATAACTGTTCAAATGAATGACGCCATAACACATTGATCGCAAGAATGGAAAGATGGCATCATATCGTTTCAGGTGACCAGTCAGCATTAGGGTCAACATGCCTCATTAGACATTTCAACGTACATACTTCTCTATCGTTCCCAACGGTGTAGTGAGTGAGTGAGTATAGTTTTACGCCGCTTTTAGCAATATTCCAGCAATATCACGGCGGGGGAGCCAACGGTGTAGACACCCGCAGGACATGTACTTCACGCCGAAGACCCGGGTTCGATTCCCGACATGGGTACAATGTGTGAAGCCCATTTCTGGTGTCCCCCGCCGTGATATTTCTGGAATATTGCTAAAAGCGGCGTAAAATATACTCACTCACTCACTCTGAAATGCTAAGACTGATACCAGTATAATGTTCAGGGTTCCCTCTAGGAATTGTCTGACATGAAGATTTATAAATATTCCAGAGGTACGCCCGCACATCACAATGTTAAGATGCCCCATTGTATTTGAAAATGTGGGTCTTTTTTTTACATTTAGGGTCTAAAAGCACAAAGCCCCACACTAGAATTATCCCTGGTATATAATTTGCTGTTATTTGCTTGTTTCCGGTTGAATTATCGGTTGTCATGGTGAATAATGCCATCAGGCGATGACGTTAGTGGGCTAGTAAATTATTTCAGAAACATGCAGATGTTACATGTTATTCCCGACCAACGTAACGTCAGCTGTCACAATTTCACGTGCCACTACAGAACATGTCACACATGCAGGTATTGCGAGAGTCAGGCTGTGGTTGTTTATGATGCAGACAGAAGTGTAAGATACACCCCATTTATGGGCTGCTGAGCAAGGTGACACTATGTTGTATATTCTCCACGAAGAGCCGCAACTTGGTGTAAATCCTACTGACCTTTTACCTGGGTAATAATGAGTGTATATTCATGGACCATTTGTAGTTGTAATAGCAGTAGTGCTACGAGTAAAAACGAGTGTATATTCATGGGTCATTTGTAGTTGTAATAGCAGTAGTGCTTCGAGTAATAACGAGTGTATATTCTTGGATCATTTTTTAGTTGTAATAGCAGTAGTGCTTCGAGTAATAACGAGTGTATATTCTTGGGTCATTTGTAGTTGTAATAGCATTACTGCTTCGAGTAATAACGAGTGTATATTCTTGGATCATTTGTAGTTGTAATAGCAGTAGTGCTTCGAGTAATAACGAGTGTATATTCTTGGGTCATTTGTAGTCGTAATAGCAGTAGTGGTACGAGTAATAACGAGTGTATATTCTTGGATCATTTGTAGTTGTAATAGCAGTAGTGCTTCGAGTAATAACGAGTGTATATTCATGGGACATTTGTAGTTGTAATAGCAGTAGTGCTTCGAGTAATAACGAGTGTATATTCATGGGACATTTGTAGTTGTAATAGCAGTAGTGCTTCGAGTTATAACGAGTGTATATTCATGGGATATTTGTAGTTGTCATAGCAGTAGTGCTTCGAGTTATAACGAGTGTATATTCATGGGTCATTTATAGTTGTAATAGCAGTAGTGCTTCGAGTAATAACGAGTGTATATTCATGGGACATTTGTAGTTGTAATAGCAGAAGTGCTTCGAGTAAAAACGAACAGGAGCAGTCGTACTGGCAGGTTTGATTGTTGTATATAAGATTGCTACGTGATAAATTGTAAACAACAATGAAAAAGGAAGCGCGGTTTATTTCACGATCAAACATTTTCTATCAGGACGTCATTTCTGGACATTCGAGCATGCGCTCGCAACTTGATGACGTCGTAAATTGGACGACGTTATCCTTGAGAGGGAAGCGTCAAGCGAGTTGTTCCCCACAGATGTAGCTGGACAACACTGATGAATGCAATGGCCGAACGATCGCACCCAAAAGTCGGAGAGATATGATAATCGGTATTTGGAGGAAAGGTTTCAGATAATCGACGTGAAGATTGTGAAAATATCGGAGAAATACCTAACGTAAGCCGCCTGTTCATAAAACAGACTTGTCCGACAATGCCGAGGTCGGATTGTATTCAGATAGTCATCATTATTTAAAGAGGGGTAAAGAAAAATTAAATTAAGGCATGCAATTTTATTAAGATCCTTAAAGAGACTGTACAAAATGTTGATATATCAAATAGGAAATAAACGACTCGTGGTCGTTGTTTATCGTACAATAAAACACTGAAGGGAGAGTTATTTCTTAATTAACGCCGCACTTCACAACATGCTAGCTATATGACGGTGGTTTCCAAGTGAGTGAGTGAGTTGGGTTTAACGCCGCTTTTAACAGTATTACAGTCATATCACGGCGTGTCAGCTTAATGTGGGAGGAAAGCCCGAAGTGATGCAGATCTCAGACGTTTACCACTTCGGTGAAACCAACAAGCAAGGGTATGGTGCTGACAAACCTAGAAACATAATCGGGGCGAACGGGGATTCGAACCCACAATCATAGGTTTCTGGCGTGCCCAAGGGACGCAACTCTGCACAGCGAATCGCGGCGCCTTAGACGACTGGGCCACCCGTGCCCCCGGTTTCCAAATGAGCGACTCTTGGCCACGCAATCTCGTGCAACGATCCACGTATGGTCATTACTGCACGGAACGTAGTCTGTATACAGACCCGTGACGTAGTGACGACGTCACCCACTCCGTCCGGGTACTGTGACTGGAGACCCGTGAAGATCCGGGGTAGAATAGGTCTTCAGCAACCAATGCTTGCCGCAAAAGGTGACTATGCTTGTCGTAAAAGGCGACTAACGTGATCAGGTGGTCAGGCTCGCTGACTTGGTTGATGCATGTCATCGATCCCAATTGCGTGGATCGATGCTCATGATATTAATCACTGGATTGTCTGGTCCAGACTCGATTTTTTACAGACCGCCGTCATATAGCTGGAATATTGCTGAGTGCGGCGTTAAACAACAAACCAACCAACCAACTGTGACTGGCAGTCAACCAAGACCACCCGATCCGTTAAATCGCTTTATTCGTGGGGTTAGTAACACATAACTGGATAAAAACTATAGACAATATCACCCATAAGGGTAGAAAGATGTGCATATATAGACAATAATCTTCCGATATTTTGACATGTGTGTGTTTTGCCTCAATGCTGATTGGTCAGTTTATGCGACATGACACCACAAGGCTTCACTGTTGAAAACAATAGCATATGATGTCATTTACTACACTAGACGTCACAAAATGATGACATCACTTCTGAACAATGGATTGACACCACAGACGTTTCTCGACAGGGTTGGTATTTCGTACGTCTTTCTTCAATTTTTATTGAATATATATAGACCAAGTTTAAAATTTGAAAAGAAAAGTAGGCCTACGATAACGAAGTTATAGCTCTAGAATCTCTGTAAGGAAACTAAATGTGAAAAGGTGTAAACCTAAATCGAACATTATTTCACGGGGAGTTTCGTAATGAAGCACCGGGCAAATCAACATGGCTGCGTATTGTGTGCACTTCTGAAAAAGAAGTCTTTGCACCAGCGAATATTTACGTTTTGCCCTTTAACAATAGATTTTAGACCACAGTGGTGGTCCCCAAGATGGACCCTAATTGGAATACAGGTAATGATAGTGCATGCTTGTTTTCACGTACTTGTGACATGATGTGAATTCGCTCCCGACATTCGGTCTAGCGACAACTCCGAAGCACGAGACACCTTGTTGTGAGTAAGGCTTGTTCAATAAAGAGTGAGAGGTTAGCAACAGGAAGTAACTGGATAAAAATTGCACAACTTGCTTCAACATACATCGGATTAATTCGTGAAGAGAAGTGAGATAGCTAACCCACACCCTAACTCAAACCGCAATGACCGTAAAGGAGTGCCTAACCCAAACGATAGTAAATGGGTGTTTGACTGGTAAGGGCCGTGCCCAAACCTGAGGTTTGTCAAGAAGTTTTTGATCGTAAAGCGGTACCTAACCCTAACGATCGTAAGTGGTTGCTTGATTGGAAAGGCTGGTACACATGCATCATACGGGAGGCCCAATCAGCCATTTGTTTGATGTCACTGATGAAGTATTTTGTATCTACTTTAGTAATTAAACATTTCATTGACTTACAAAAGCATTTAATTAAAACCCCCTGTTATCTTAGCGAGGTGAAAAAAATGGCATCTGAAAAACATAGAATACATAGAAAACATAGAACATAGGGCGTCCAAGGGCTATGCATATAGTTGGGGAGTAACCTACCCTATCTATCCTACCTACAACAAACAATCAAACAAACTTTCAAGTGTCATATAGCTGGAATATTGCTGAGTGCGGCGTTAAACAACAAACCAACCAACCAATCAAGTGTCATGCTTGGTGTGGAAATACAGCCTTTACTGTGTGACTGTACTTTATCATGTTTGGTAGCTATGTAACCATGGTAACACAACCTGTTTTGTTGCAGCCAACTATGCGTACGGCCCGGGGTATGTGGCCAACTTCCAGTATGATCCTGCACAGATGGCATACATGCAACAGCAGGGGTACGACATGACAGGGCAGTATGCTGCGGCACCATACACCGAGCAGTACAGCACCGGTCAATATGCCGCAGGCCAGTACGATGCCTACGGTAATATACAGCAGTATGAAACCTACCAAGGCTATGGCAACCCTCAGGTTAACAATATGTACATGTCCTTCAACACTCAAACTCCTGGGACTGTGCCAGCGAAGCCTGATGAGAACACAGGAACGATTGCCTCATATTCCACTGCCCAAACTGATGCCCCAGGCTGCTACCCAGGGCTGAATGCCAATAAGGCTGCCACCGAAACAGCCCTGGTTGCAACAGCCTCCAAAAAACCTGAAGAATTGCCTCCCCCACCCCCTCCAGCAGGGTCCCCACCCCCGCCCCCACCTCCCCCTCGAGGAGACTCCCCTCCCCCTCCTCCCCCTCCCAAACCAAGAGCCAAACCTAGCATGAACAAAGTCTCCATCAACATTTCGTCGTCGTTCTCGAAAGCTTTGACATCTCAAATCCAGTCGGGGCCTTCAGGATCATTGCCATCAGCTTCTAAAACAAATGTGAAACCCCAAATTAAAAAGGCCCCTCCATCTAAAGATCCTGGACCATCTAAAGTTGCTGGAACATCTAAAAATCCTGGGGCATCTAAAGTTGCTGGGCCATCTAATGTGGGCGACCCAGGCAAAGTAGCTGAATCATCTAAAGTTGCCGGATCATCTAAAGTGTCCGGACCACCTAATGTGGCCGGATCATCTAAAGTGGCTGGTCCACCTAATGTGGCCGGATCATCTGTAGTGGCTGGTCCACCTGATGTGTCTGGATCATCTAAAGTGGCTGGACCACCTAAAGATCCTGGACCATCTAATATGGCTGAATCATTGAAAGTAGTTGAAGAATCTAAAGTGACTGAACCATTTAACGTGGCCGAACCACCAAAGGAAGCTGGACCATCGACAGTGTCTGAACCATCTATAGTGTCTGAACCGTCTAAAGTGGTTGGACCGTCGAAAGTGGTTGAGCCACCTAAGGTGACTTTGCCATCAAGAATGATCATACCCTCTAAAAAGTCAATACCTGGTAAGAAGATTGTACCCCCTAAAAATCCGGTACAAGAGGAGGGAGAAGAAAGTGAAGAGGAAGAGGAAGAAGAGCATCCTTTGAAGAGAGGACAGAGTAGAAAACTGACATTCCAAGAAAAACGTATGAGTTCACTCTCTGCACTCCTCTGTCATTTCGAAGGCGCAAGCAGCCAACCTCAACAGGAACCAGAGGAAGAGGAGGAGGAAGAAGAGGAGGAGGAAGAAGAGGAAGTAGCAGAAGCCCCAAAGCCCCAAAATAAAAATGTAGTGACATTTGAAGAAAAACGAGCTAGTTCTTTGGCTGCCTTTCTTGGCATGGTTCAAGAAACAGAAGGTATGGAGCCGACAGCCATGACAACAGGTCCCCCGGTAAAGAAATACCCCAAGCCCTCCAAGGGTCCCGAGGTCATTCCAGATATGACCCCGCCACCCTTTATGATGTGTCCTGTAAGTTCTGGTAAAGGAATTGGGGATTCTTCAAACCCCATTGCTCTATCAACACAGGCCATGCAATCGTTTCAGCAGAAGAAGGTCAAACAAGTTAAGGAAAACCTAGTTGAAAAAGAAAAGCAGACCAACACTCAGTGGAACTGGTTAGGAATCCGCAATGCACATGGAAAGAAGATGGACGCTGCCCACGTGACGGGACAAGGGGGCGGCAACCCGCATGGTTACGGCTCCCAAGTCCCTGGTCTCACAGCCAGTGGGAAAGACAAGAGTGAATTTAATTTCTTTTATAAAGTTCCCAAAGAAGCTTATTCCTGCCCCGAAGATCTACGTGGCGTTTCCAAAAAGAAAGCTGTTCGTTTGGAAACGTTGGTGAGACTGCGTTACTGTAAGCTGTGCAGCATTGTGTTTCCGAATACGTTTTCCGCTAAGCAGCATTACGAGGGGAAGAAGCATTATATCAAGCTGCGGACGTACATCCTGAGCAGCGAACGCAAGGATGAGGATGGGAATCCCATGTGTTGTAAAGTGTGCAATGTGATATACTCGGATGAACACCATAAGGAGGTGCATGTCAATGGAAAGCCTCATGCCAAGAGAGTGTTGACTCTCAAGCAGAAAGGCATCATTCCATTCGATGCTCCGATTAATGACCCCATGGTGAAGGGACCGGCGTTCAAGGACGAGAGTGATGACGAAGATGAGATTACACTGGGGGATGCTCAGGTAAGCTACGATTGTGGTTCAGTGCACATGACGCAGTTATCAGGGACCTACCATTCGGTGTCTGAAACTCGGAGGAGAAAACTGAGAGCCTTAAGGGTCAGCACATATCAACAAATGTAGGCCCAGTGAAAAAAAATGTAGGCCCAGTGGAAATAAATGTAGGCCCAGTGGAAATAAATGTAGGCCCAAACATTTGAGCTGAAACAGGGACACATACTCTTGCAATATAAATTACAAAACACAACCATTTAACCAGAAGCTTTTACTGTCAGCACACTGAGGCCTCAGAGACTGGGTGGTGATAGGTGAAGAGTACATTTTTCAGGAAATTATCAGCTTGTAAAATATCTTTGCGATTACATGTCAAACACAATTTGAAAGGTATAACTACTGTTTATGAATATGAAAGTTATGTTTATCACATTACTTAAATAAACTGCTGGTAGAAGCATGATGAGGGCCTGCTGAAATTTAAAACTATCAGCCTGGGAACAAATCTGTTGGCCCGGGCCTGTTGGCTACCTGTTTATGTAGCGACCCTACGTATAAGGCAACCCCCCTGTACAAGCCTTCAAAATCGATGCTAATTTAAATACCCTGTCTGTAAAGCAAATCTGAATGAAGCATGTCACCAGCGCATACACAATCCCTAAATTTGCAATAAAAACGTATTTGTCTTCTGGCTAGTTCTGCAGGAAACAATTACCAGGTACATCGTATCCCTTCAGCGAATTCAGGGAAACGAACAGATCATAACAATTACCGTATTCGACCCAATAAGCGCCGATGTCCCAATAAGCTCTCCCCTCCCTCCCCCCGTTCCGGAAATTTATATAGTAATTATTTCGTTTTAAATGAAAATCGTCCGGGAACCGAGGTTTCCGGATATTTGAAGTCCGTATAAGCGGGGCATGACTGTATTCTGTTTATTTTAGATATATGTGACTTAAGGCTTACTGATGAATTTACGCCAATCTTTATTTTAAGCGCCCTGGGCGCTTATTGGATCGAATACGGTAAACTTGGTCAACATGGTCAATACATATTTGAGATAAAAAACACAAGACGTGATGATTTACCGATTAAATTGTATTTCCTGTTCTGATAGGCATTGTTTTATGTGCAGACATTAAGATTACAGTGTGTATTTTCTTGTAAACTAAGCCGGAAGCTACAATCAGCTGTGCACACGTGTCTCAGAATCAACTGGTGATTCAGTTAAAAATGACTCGATAATGTAATTTTAAAGAATTTTGATACAATGATCGGAAAAAATTGTATCTGAAACTATTATTTTATCAGGAATAATTTATTCCAATATCATGTTATTTTAGTTATATTTTACTATATATATTTGAAATAAATGAATAATCGCTAATAATTTCAAACACTGCTACCATTTGATATACCTTGGTGGAGGAGGCAGGGAATGTTTTAGGAAAATAAATTCAGAAAAAGTTGAAAAAAACTATTTTGCGTCAAGTTTTTAAGCCTTAGATATTCGGGTTAGTCCAGAGAACTTGTGTGAGCCTTATTTTGCTGCTCCTCAGAGTTTGTAGCTGGTCCTGGTTGAACAAGACAAAAATGTTTGCAGTGTTTACACTTTCTGTCGGTTTAACTCAGTTCTAATTTGTAGCAAAATTGATGTATTGAGAACTGGTTCACATCTGTACCCCTCAGATTCCCCTCAGTGCTTCCGGGGTAGAATAGGTCTTCAGCAACCCATGCTTGCTGTAAAAGGCGACTTTGCTTGTCGTAAGAGGCGACTAACGGGATCGGGTGGTCAGGCTCGCTGACTTGGTTGATGCATGTCATCGATCCCAATGGCGTGGATTGATGCTCATGACATTAATCACTGGATTGTCTGGTCCAGACTCGATTATTTACAGACCGCCATCATATAGCTGGAATATTGCTGAGTGCGGCGTAAAGTAAAACAACAAACCAACCAACCAACCCCTGAGTGCAAGTGAAGAACTGCCTGATTGTAACAGATAAATCGACATGTAAATCATCTGCAGGCTGTAAGGACCCATACAAATGTGTAACCCTCTAGGCCTACAGGCAGGGGGTTAATTCAAACACTGGGTTTGTGCATTGTGCTCCCTCAACACACTCTACACAGAGATACAGATAAGCAGCATATTTGCGTAAAATACCCCCCCAAAATATTCAAAACCCAATTACTTTCAATCAACTTGTGTACAGAAGCGCATGCATTAAATGAAAAACTCAAATGTATGAAAACAGTATATGTAAATACCCAATTGAAGCTTTTTCAGCATGCGTACAAAGGAGCTAATTTGTGAAACACAATTTCGAGCTAATTTACTTTCCTAGTCAAGCCTATATATTTAGAACAGTTATCATTGGTTATACACATCTTAAACATTATTTCATGTTTTTTAAATCTTAAAATGTTCACTAATTTTGGGAAAAACCAAAAGAGTGATGAATAGATGAGTAAAAAAATATTGGTTACCCAATGAAAAATGTAATAACCCAATTAAAATAGAAACCCTAGAGTAAAAACTGAATTGCTCAAAAAGTTATCTGGAGCTCTGTATACATGTTCCTTCTCCCTGACACGAGATCTGGGCTGGGCCTACAGGCAGGTGGTTGCTTCAAACACTGGGTTTGTGCGTTGTGCTCAAGAGCTCCCTATACACACTATACACGTTCCTTCTCCCTGACGCAAGATCTGCGCTGGGCCTGCAGGCAGGTGGTTGCTTCAAACACTGGGTTTGTGCGTTGTGCTGAAGAGCTCCCTATACACACTAAACACGTTCCTTCTCCCTGATGCGAGATCTACCCTGGTCCTACAGGCAGGTGGTTATTTCAAACACTGGGTTTGTGCGTTGTGCTCAAGAGCTCCCTATACACACTATACATGTTCCTTCTCCCCAGGCGTGGGACATGACGACCATCAACTCCACGGAACGGATGTGCCCGATCTGCAAGGTTGGCTTTTCGTCAGTGTACTCCGCCCTCCAGCATTACCACGGCAAGCTGCACGACAAGCGGCTCAGCGGCGCCGCCACACAACGCAAACTGACTGTCGATGACATAATCATACTGGGGTAGGTACAGAAAGTGCTTAGGGCGGTTGGGTAGCCTAGTGTTTGAAGTGTTCGCTCGTCACCCCGAAGACCTGGGTACAATGTGTGAAGCCCATTTCTGGTCCCACCACCGTGATATTGCTGGAATGTTGCAAAAAGCAGCGTAAAACCAGACTCATTCACAGCAAGCTTTTGACCAGTGTAACACGTAGGTTTGTCTACACGTGCACAGAGGCCAATATGTTGGGCCCCAGTCCCCAGTCCGCAGCAAATGTCATCCCAATTCATGACACAATGTATTAATATATAACTAATAACTAATTTTATGTCTCTAGAACTGACCTATATTCATTTATATCAAGGCCAATAAATCGGAATAGGTTTTCATGCTTTGTTTTATATTTAATGCAATCTCAAATTACCCCTGAATTTAAAAAAAATACAAAGTTTTAAGAAATCCCCATTTTGAACAAAATAATAATTTTTTTCTCAATTTGCCTGCCATGGCCACTTCGTTATATATCCTCGATAAGTCCTTGGTTTAGTGGACATGCAATGATGCACATATTTAAAAGGGCCATCAGAGACTTCTGGTTGTGTGTCCTTCTGCTCCGTATCTGTGGATCAATGGTCGTGTTTCTTGCAATCACCTCGGTGGTCTAGGTGACATGCACATATTTAAGAGAGCAGGTGATATCGACAGTGAGAATGATTTATTTCAACTTTCATTTTGTTGTAGTATTCTTATATGTATGTTTAAGTCACATGTTAAGTATTTGGGCATCATTCATGTGTAAAATTTGATAGAAAAGCTTGAAATTAATTAACATAAGTGTATTGATTGATAGGAAAGGCAAATTCTGCGATTTTTCTGTAGGAAGTTTCATTTTCTGCAAATTGCAGAATTCCTCTTGGACTGGGTAATGATCGTTATTTTCCACTTCCAGAGCTGATGAGGTGAAGTATGAATGCATTGTGTGCAGTGTAAGCCTCAACTCACGGGAGAGCCTCAACGAACACATCTGTGGCTACAAACATCAGACCAAACTCAAGTCTCGCCAAGTCTTTGCAAAAGCGGCAGGAAAACCTGGCACTAGAGGGGGGATGAGAGGTGGGGGGAGAGGTGGGGGCGTGAGTGGCCGAGGTGGTGGACAGAAAACTTCTGCTTACCTTTCCCGAGGAAAGGCAGGAATCATCCAGCCACGCCCTGCAGACAGGGGGCAAGGGGGGCGGGGAAGGGGCAACTATGGCCATCAGGCAGTATACCAAACAGGCCTCCATGGTGGGTACCAGGTGGGAAATCATGCTGGCTACCAGGGTGGGTACCAGGCACAAAATCAGGGTGGGTTCCTGGTTGCAAACCAGGCTGGGTACCAGGCAGGAAGTCAGGGTGGATACCAGGGTGGGTACCAGGCAGGACAGCAGGGCGGTGGTGATGGGGCCTACAGTGGTGGCTATCAAGGCTACGATGGCGGCCTTCAGATTGGTCAATCACAGAGTGCTGGAAATGCTGTAAATAAAGGTATGTTAAGTAAAATTGTCTTTGTTCAAATAAGAATTGACTTCAATAATTGTTTTGCATTTAGGCTTAAAAAGGAAGAAGAATTGGTTCTCAGGCAGTGACTTTTGAAATTATAGTGCTGGCTTATTCAAACTAGTATGTAACCAAATAAACAGTAGTGTACCATCAACTTGGGAAAGGGCCTCCCTACATAAACAAGCATACAAACTCCTATTGCCGCCATGGCTATAACACGAGATGTGAGTAAAGCAGTGCACATGTAAAGGGAACAAATTGCTTGCTATATTGTTTTTAAATATTAGGATTTTTATATTTTTTTAAAAATGGAAATAAAAAACGAAACGTGCGGCACTTTATGATGATGCGGGCTGTGCTTGAGAACAAAGACTATTATTTTTTTTAGCCTTATGGAGTTTTTGGAGTGTGCACACTCGTTACGTGTATAACTCCATAAACGGAAAAGTCAACTCTTGTTAACTCTGTTAATATATCAACAGACTGCTTATTGAGTCTTTAACACAAAAATAATGTAGGTCAGTGATGTCATTCAGTGGGATCATGCATCACAAGCCACGCCCATTCTATTATCAACCAATCAGGAAACAACAGTCTGTTAGTGGGCGTGGCCTAATTTATTTCTAGTTTATGGACACATCAACAACAAAATAATTGCTTGGTTACTGTCACTTGTTTCACATTACTTTGCAATATTATCTCTCTCTCTCTCACACATTGTAAAAATCGCTATGTGAAATCACCCGTTATATCAAGCATGAAAAAATTATATTGTGATACATATCGAGGAAAAAATGTTTGTTTGCTGAGTGTGGCGTTATGCTGCACTCAGCAATGTTCCAGCTATATGATGGCAGTCTGTAAATAATCGAGTCTGGACCAGACAATCCAGTGATTGACATCATGAGCATGGAAAAAATGAACCTCAATTTACCAATATGCCAACAATACTGCACACCCTCAGTCAAATGTCTTCTGATTGGTTGTAGGTGTGAAGCGCCCCTGGGGTCAGAGCCAGCCACAGAACCCGGCAAGCACCTGCAACCCATACACACAGTTCGTCCAGTTCCAACCAGCCAGCAAAAAGTTCCAGACTCAGGATGGGCTCATTGTGACAGGGCCTCAGGGCCAGGCCTTCATGGACCTGGGGTACTGAGGACCTTCATGGACCTGGGCTACTGGACCTTCATGGACCTGGGCTACTGAGGACCTTCGTGGACCTGGGGTACTGGACCTTCATGGACCTGGGGTACTGGACCTTCATGGACCTGGGGTACTGGACCTTCATGGACCTGGGGTACTGAGGGCCTTCATGGACCTGGGGTACTGAGGACCTTCATGGACCTGGGGTACTGAGGACCTTAATGGACCTGGGGTACTGAGGGCCTTCATGGACCTGGGGTACTGAGGACCTTCATGGACCTGGGGTACTGAGGACCTTCATGGACCTGGGATACTGGACCTTCATGGACCTGGGGTACTGAGGGCCTTCATGGACCTTGGGTACTGAGGGCCTTCAGGGACCTTGGGTACTGAGGGCCTTCAGGGACCTGGGGTACTGAGGACCTTCATGGACCTGGGGTACTGAGGGCCTTCATGGACCTGGGGTACTGAGGACCTTCATGGACCTGGGGTACTGAGGGCCTTCATGGACCTGGGGTACTGAGGACCTTCATGGACCTGGGGTACTGAGGACCTTCATGGACCTGGGGTACTGAGGACCTTCATGGATGGATGGCTTTCCTTGTGCATTTGGGAATTTGAAAACATGGACGAATGCCCTTTGAATGTGAAGACTTTCTCTTTGAAACAAAGATTGTGAAATATGGTCTTCAAACAATGTTTAATGTGAGAATGTTCCTTTTGTGGAATAATCCGTATTGGATTCATCAACATGCCGTTGAAAATGTTGTAAATATCTACCAACATGCAAAATGGCGGGCACAATGGCTAATGTGTTGGATGCTACACGGGTTGATGACCTGGGATTAAGGTGTGTGTACCCACAGTGTGTCAAAACTATTCCTCTGCTCCAGGTAATTATTGCTGCCCTCGGGTAGAAAAGCCCTTCTCTCTTTAGTCCCTGACAAGTAGTTTGTTACTTGTTAGAAATCCAAATATTAAATGGAGTAACCATGGTAACATAAGGCTAAGATGACATCTACAAACTGTCAGATTTAGTGGATTTGGTACCAAACCAATATGGTTTCGGCTATCTGATCTTGAAGACATCTTGTATCACAGGGGGCATGGGTGGCCCAGTCGTCTAAAGCACTGTGATTCGCTGAACGGAGTTGCGTCCCTTGGGCACGCCAGAAACCTATGATTGTGGGTTCGAATCCCGGTTCATCCCAATTATGTTTCTAGGTTTGTCAGCACCATACCCTTGCTCGTGGGTTTCACGGAAGTGGTAAACGTCTGAGACCTGCATCACTTCCGGCTTTCCTACCACATTAAGCTGACACGCTGTGAAATAACTGGAATACTGTTAAAAGCGGCGTTAAACCCAACTCACTCACTCTTGTATCACATTAGAAATTAAACTATGGGGAACTATCGTGTTTATCAGCATGATAAGGTTTGTTACGATCATTTCAAGACAGATATGTGTGACTTTCACCCTCTATTAAGAGGCTTGTGTGCAGCATACTTGAAAACAGTTTTAAAAACAAAACAAAGCTGGTGGTTAAAGTATGTCTCGTCACGCCGTGTTTGATTCCGCACATAGGTACAATGTGTGAAGCCCATTTCTGGTGTCCCCTGCTGTGATATTGCTGGAATATTGCTAAACATGCATAAAGCGGCGTAAAACCATACTCACTCACCTCGGAGACACTATTCTTGTCTACACATTTGTACATTGTTCACACATTCAAGTTTTACGTTTTGTTTGCTGATGTTGTTATTGTATATCTGTTTCCACACAGTTTTCTTTACAGTTATTTGATGTCATCCCAGTATTTGTTGTTTTGAAGAAAATATTTATTTCTCAGGCCTAGAAAATGTGTGCGTATTTTCCCATGAGAATTTAAAAAAATGTAACGAATATGTTTCTAGTCATGATAATCTATGTTTGAAAGGAAAATGTCATTAAGAAGCTAATTGCTTCCAAAGCCAACATTGTTCAACATGGAAATATGATTTGTGAGCAGGGATCCGAGAATTCTTTGCCAATTGGACATTTGTGTATTGGTCACGCCCACCTCATATTTCACAGTTCCTGATGGATGTTCATGTACGATACAATGGAACAATCAAGGGTCACTTTCATAACATATACTATACTTTGTTGAGTATAGTGCACACTTTCTTTTCCGTTTTTCACACCACAGTGAGTTTTGATGTCTCCCCACCGACACAAACTGAAGACCGTACTACAAAATAGGAAGGTGTAAAAATGTTACTTGGGAAACAGTATTTCTATTGTTTGTTTGTTTGTTTAACGCCGCACTCAGCAATATTCCAGCTATGTGATGGCGGTCTGTAAATAATCAAGTCTGGAAGGGACAATCAAGTGATTAATATCATGAGCATCGATCCACGCAATTGGGATTCGATGACATGCATCAACCAAGTCAGCGAGGCTAACCACACGATCCCGTCAGTCACCTCTAACGACAAGCATAGACACTTTTTACGGCAAGCATGGGTTGCTGAAGACCTGTTCTACCCCAGATCTTCACGGGCAGTATTTCTATTGCACCTGTCTTCTGTCTCTATGAATTTTACCGTTTTGAAAGAGTAAAGAGTGCTTTTTGTCAACTGATTATGGTTTTCAGTCTTACACCTCCATGTACTGTGCATTCTCCGATGCACATTGCACGCTGATACTTTTTGTTTTTGGGTTCAGTAAATACTTGGGAAGGAGGTAATTGTCAAATATTTTGGAAATATTCACCGATTTGTTCCTCTAATGAAATTGTTTACTTCTTGCTATTTTTGCCCCTGATGAATATTTATTTAGACAATGTACTGTTGTCAGACATGCATTTGTGTGTCAATAAATACAGATGAATCACATCTTGTTTGTATTTTTACCTTTGGTTAACAAGTCTTCAACATCAGTACCCCACAGGTTCCTCCATCACCTGTGTTTGTTTGTTTGTTTGTTGTTTAATGCCGCACTCAGCAATATGATGGCAGTCTGTAAATAATCAAGTCGGGACCAGACAATCCAGTGATTGACATCATGAGCATCGATCTTTGAAATTGTGATACGATGACATGCATCAACCAAGTCCGCAAGCCTGACCACCCGATCCCATTGGTCGCCTCTTGCGACAAGCAATGTGGCCTTTTACTGCAAGAATGGGTTGCTGAAAACCTATTCTACCCCGGATCTTCTGGGTCTGCAAAACCTGTGAATGCATATGGCCGTTATGTTGTGTTGGTGTGTTGTATGTTTCAGTAACCCAATGAACAGGCCTACCAAGGAGAACCAGCAGAAAGCAACCAAACTGTCGACTTTGTACACACTTTAAGTGAGTGAGTGAGTGAGTGAGCAAGCATGGTTTTACGCCGTTTTTAGCAATGTTCCAGCAATATATGGCAGGGACACCAGAAATGGGCTTCACACATTGTACCATGTCGGGTGTCATGACGAGCGAACGCCTTAACCACTAGGCTACCCGACCGCCCCGTACACACTTTAAGTAGACATAGTTACAAGTACAATCATTGTAAGACCTGCCACAATGGAGACCGCAACAAACTGAATTAAATGTGTGCGCTCTCGTTTTATTGTGGTCTGCATGATTTACTGTGTTTCCTTCCAGGGAAAATGTGGCAGGTTTTAATCTTTACGATGTACATACATGAGGATTGATTTGTTTTGAATTTGTGTTGTTTCTATTTATGTACATTTTCCACATTTCGATTGCTCTCTGCTGGTTTTTATTGGTAGGCCTGAATAAAAGGAGGACATTTATGGATGTCAAAGGCGCTTTACTCCATACTTGAAATTTGTACAACGCATCAGCATGTTCCCGAGGCAAGTGAGTTAACTCACTATAAAAGTTAAGTTTCCACCCTTGCCGAACTAGGCTGGAACTCTTCGGGCAGACAACCACCAAGGGGACACAACTCGATTTGCAACTCCTGAGAACACGGAGTGAATCGGAGGTAGACAAAAGACAACTCTCCTGAAAATCAATGAGAAAACAAACGTCAAGCTACATGCAACTTAAAAGAAGCAAAGACAGACCAAACAAGTTCGCCTTGCTATGTTTATTTATTCAAGTAACATTTCCATGTGTATATAATACTGTTGATACACTCTGCAAGATGCAGGTCACTAATGCTCACAATCCTGTATTGATAGTTCTGAGGATCATCCAATGGAAGTAGTACCTTCATACCTATCTTTCACCTCAACACACTTGGAACAGGTCCGTCCACCTTACTGACTTAAAAGTACAAAATACGGCTTGACTAATGACAGAAAGCTGAACTTATTCTCTTTCGGTGATTTTCAGAATCTTGCGTGGCTGTTTTTTTAGCAGGATTTTGTCTTGTATGATATACAAAGAACCCAAGAAATATATCCATACACATGGGTATGTTCTCTCAAATTAAAATGAACAATTTGGAATCAATTTTTCAATCATTATCAACAGAACAAGTACTGTTTTGTCAGTTTACACATTTGCTCAGGTTAAAAATAGCAGAGTAAGAAAACACCGGCCCAGGCTGAAAATCTGTTGAATGCAAGTCTGGGCATCATACACTGTCCATGCATGTGTAATATACACACACTGCATATAGAAAAGACTCCTAACACTGTGCCATATCGATGATTGTCGAATAACGCACAAGTTGTACAAAATTCACGGATTTGTTTCTCTTATGAAATTTTGGCTCCTTAAATAGTGAGACATTTGACCACTACACATAAATAACAAGATATAGGCGTAAAAATAAAACAAATACCACATCCTTCTCATGGCCAGTATAGGCGCTACCCCTCTAACGTACACGACCTAAGGCAAGATGTATGAAAATAACTTTACAAAGTGATGGTTGATTGTTTGTTACAGGATAAACATGAAGGTACGAGAACGAAAGGGTGGTCATTCAAAAGAGACTTCAGTGCATGTGATTACAATGCTACACAATGTCAGAAACCTACAAGAGATGTAGCACCATAGACTAAAAAAACTTAAATGTCAAATAGCAAAAAGACTTAGCACTAAACAGTTTGAAATCCAATGTTTAATTATTCAACAGTAAGTGTGAAACAATTCCAGATATAATACAAAATATGAAAAACACATTCAATACAAAATATTCTAGGAATTAAGTCCGTGACAGTTAGTTGAAAATAGTTGACCAACACGTGACTCTTCGCGTGGACATACAGTATTCTCAGGTGTAAATGGACAGTGATCGTAATGTATTTCCGTTTTCCCCAAACTGAGAGTTCACAACACTGATAATGTCGTCAAATATACAGAAGTGCATGCTGGGTAATGGCAATAGCATTAACGACATTGCTCAGTACGTCTGACTTTCTTCGATGATACACACTCAGGTTTATGGTATTATCTGTTGCAACGAAAACCAGCCACTGAAGCAAAGAGCTAAGACCATAAAAATCTACAACTTGATGTCTTTATTGTTATAACTAACCAACAGCTTACA